AACGCAGCTTCCTAGTGCAGTTTGTTAGCGCAACTCACTACTGCAATTTGCTAACGCCGCTTGCTGGTGCTACTTGCTAGCGCTACCTTTCTAGTGCAATTCGTTCGTGCAACTTGCTAGTGCTATCATGCTGGTGCAACTCGATAGTGTTACTTGAGAATGCAACTCGCTCGTGCCACTTGCTAAAGCAACTTGCTAGTGATACTCGCTGGTGTACTTCGCTCCAGGTCTTTCCGGAAGCGCCCTTTTCAATGCCTTCCGAAAACGCAGCGGGCTCCCCCTACTAATGCTCATTAATCAACCCATCTTATTCATAGGGGGTGTTCACCTCCAAGAGTGATGACTCCCCAGAAAAACCAGCAGGGCTGATTACTATGGTGTCCACATCATGCGCACCAAGGAGCCTGGTGGGTGTACCTTCCACCACCTCGGGTGTGCCGCCTGCTGCGTGTCGGGGACCGAACGCCAGCCCCGCGCCCACCATGGCGCGATCCGCCACGTGCCCGGTGCGATCGCCCCAAGCCACCCGAGCATGGAGCATGCGCCTTGGACTCGGGGCCGGTCCTTTCCGAAGTCGGTACCCGTGGTTTTGAGGGGGAGACGAAAGGAGTTTGGTTTGAGGACAGGGGGGTCCCGAACAAAGAGACGAACCAAGGGCTCAAAAAAACAAGAGGGAACGGAGGGTTGCAGAGAATAGAGGGAACAGAGGATTGAAGGAACAGAGGGAACGAAGGGCGGAACATGATTAACAAACGCAGTTATCAGTCAGGACAGGCCCCCTGCAAGAAAGGATTCTCCACCGAAAATTAACCTCGATGGAAAACAATTAGGGGGGGTTGTTGGGCCAGTCCGCTTTGGGCTGGGTTTGAGGCTGTGATTTAGTTTGCCTTGAAGTGTTAGTGAGTGAGAGGTAGGTGCATGTATTGTTTCCACATGGCTTCAAGGGCCAGGCAGAGAGCTACAGGGGAAGGTGCAGATTTGGGGTGTTTTACCGGATTCTGGGCATTAGGGCAGTAGCAATCAGCTAGCACAAGCTCAGGGAGTCTTTGTTGGATGCCCCAAGTCCATGTTGGATTTATTCCGCACTTGATTTGGAGGGCGTAGAAGGAGGTTTGTGGGATGAAGGTCCTTTACTTGGTGATCCCTTGGAGTTTTGAAAGTCCATGGCTGGGTACGTCTGAAGATATTGATTTGACCCTCTTCTGTTGGCATTGAATGTGCAACCCCTAGAGGTTCGGCCTTAGGGCTTTTCAACGGATACCCGCTGGGGCCACTTCGTCACGAGCTCACTGTAGCCAGAACCGGAGGTTTTTTGGAGACATCCTTTGAGGAACCCTGCACTTGGGCAGGTTCGTGATGACCAAAAAGGTAGAACCTACTTAGGTTGAGCATCAAGACGAAGGAGAAGATCCGGGTGAACTTTGGGATTTGTGTTCAAAGGGTGGGGTTCAACCTGGGATTTGTTTAGGGGAAGGGAAGTCAAAGGAGCTTTACTCCCTTGTAGGTTCTTGGAAGCCGCCCGCCTAAAGCAAGAGGGACGCCAGTTATGCCCCTCGAGTTGGGCTCGTCTTGGATCACGAGGCTTTGAGCTTGCGGCATCCATTTCTTTTCTGGGGGTACCCTCCCATCCACAAGCAGGAAACGTGCCACAGGGGAAGTCCGGAAGACCCTGTAAGAGTGATTGGTGGGTTCCATGTTGCTCAGGGTTCTGGGATCAAGGGGTGAAATTCCCCACTGCTGTGATAAGAAAGGAATCACCCCCGGGGCTAGTCCTTGGGATTCCCTTGTTGTTGTATCACAGATTCGTGGGTTCCATTTCTCCCACCGCACGCCGAGTCGCGCGTTTTGTTTCTGCTCCCAGGAACGCACCGTCCCCGCGCCCCACCGGTCCAAGCCGGTCCCCCGAGCGCGGCTACATGATGGTCGAGCCGGTGGTCCGGAACATCACCCCGCTGCGGCAGCCGGCGACCCTGCTGCCGCCCTGGCAATGGCAACAGGAGCGGACCAGCGTTCGGAGCCGTAGACACAAACCTCGGAGCCTTCGGAGCCGCCGACTTGTCTCTTTTTCCGGGCGCGACAAGCAGGACCGCGGCTTTGATGTTTGTTCTGTTTGTTTCAGTTTTGTCAAAAGGGGATGCAGCAGAATCCACGTTGCGCGGGTCGCTCTTGGATGTTCAAGCCAAAGCTGCTCATGTCCACCATGTCCTCCCGTTTTTCAGCCCCCGAGTTTTTTTTTATTGGCCCTACTTGCTGAGCAGGTTGAACTCCCCGGGGTTCAAGAAGGTTGCCGTTTTGTTTCTTTTGCCGCTGCGGGATGGGTTGATGAGCTCTCTTTGGGGTTCGGGTTTGCAGGCAGCAAGCAGGCGCCTGGGTTTCGCAGGTTGGTCCTGCAGGGAGGTCGGGTTGTTTGGTGGGCTGTGTTCTTGGGCAGGCACGTGGCTTTTGTCAATCCCCGTACTCCCGGGGGCGGGAGTCGGGCAGTGGGGCGGGACATGGACCGTAGCGCATTCTCCGCCGCCCAGGGACGGTTTTCCCTGTGTCCTTCCCAGCCTCAAGTAGACGCACCCTCAAAAAGCAGTTATGATTGCTTGCTATTGTTGAAATACAACGTGTCCAAACGTGTCAAGACCATATGTTTGACATCATTAGTGAGCGGTGCTTTGTTCCTTCCTGTTCAGTTGGTCAAGCTCCACTCCGACAAAGGGCCAGACCGCCCTTGGCCGGACACTGCTGTTCGATTCGTGGCCGCTCGAGGATCCAAAACTGCTTGCCGAGCAACAGCGTCAGCTCTTGCACTGCTGCTAGCCGATTCGTGTACATCGCCGCTTCATCGACACATCGCGGGTTGCCCCCGCACGGCAAAATGTCGTTGCAAACCCGCGCGTACTCGGCAGGTACTCCCTTTTTCACTATCACAGAAAGCGGTTTGATTTTCCACCTGGATGAATGTTGACTTGTTGTCAGAATTGTATGACTTGTTGGGCTGGGTCACGCCACGTCGAAGACTTGGCGCGAGCAACGCGCGAATCGATGCGGAGGTGTGTCACCATGCGGCCTTCCGCCTAAGTGCGAGGGCCGCCTGTGATCTTGTCATTCCGTTGAGGGAAGACACCCTGCAGCGCCCTGCCGCTTGCAACCATCCCGTTTGAGACGGGAGGGGATGCTTTCATGAGGGAACATGGGGAAAAAGGCCTAAGTTACAAGGGACAGGGGATTCCCGAAAAAGCAAACAGAGCGTCTTCTTCTGATTTTTGTCTTTTTTCTCAGCACGGGGTGTCCGCCATCAACCGAACAGAGGCCTTAGTGCCACCAAGCCAAAAAGCCGCCTGCTGCCAGCAACCTGGGGGGGAAGGTGAGATTGGCACGAAAATCACCACACCTGATGGCCCAACACTTTGCTATTGGCCGTTTGGGCCTTCTTTTTTTTTGCGTTGGTCTGGAAGGGAGACCGAAAGGGGCAACCACCTGATCTTGGGCACCCAAAGTTCCGGATCTACTGGCAACGGAGGGCCTGTGCATCGTGGGGGATCCAGCTAAAGGTGACGCCTGGCATACCTGTTCGAATTGTGTGGACAACATTCTCATGTTTTTGGGTTTCGGATCTCCGAGAGGTATATTTGTGCTATCCACACCTCATGAGGCTTCAGACAGGGAAGATAAACGGGCCCCAGCATTGAGGGGTTGTTACACATCCGAGAAAAGCTGCAAGCTCCCTAGTTTTTTTTTGTTTTTTAAATATTATGAAATAAATAAAATAATAATAACAATAATACCACAAGTAAATAAATAAAGATAACAAAATAAAGGGAGTTCGACCTGGGTCCTGGGAATGAGCTTGGGCATTGACGGAAGGGGCGCCCGCGGACCTGAGCGTGGGAAAGTGTTGGGTCGGCTTCGGGAAGGGGCCAAAAAGAGAAACAGAGCGCCGGCCTCTGGGCGTGGAGCAAATTTTTGGAGGCCGCCCTTGGGATGGTTCAAAAGGGAGGCCGAAAGGAACCGGTCCCCTTATGAACCACATGCACGGGTCGCCAGTGTGAGCCGGGCTTGTGAAAGGCAAGAGAGAAGACCTCACCATGTCACCTCTCTTTGTACGAGCCATGCGCAATATCTCCGGCCTTCTTCGTGATAGTTTGCATGGGAAGATAAAGCCCACAGTTCCTCTCGTAGGTTCCGCGTGCCTCACGCCTCACGGCACGGGGCAATCAACTTTGCAAAACACCGGGGGAAACCCCAAGAATCTTCTGGGTGATACGGTGATACACCCTCAAGCTGGTTCTTTTTCGGATGTGATGTCCATCCACATTTTTTTTGCCTCTTTACATGAGGGTACCCGTTTTGGGGTTCTTTTGAAGGATTAATGGCCGGCTAACGGTTTTGGGGTTGCAGGTTCCCCATAGGGTTTCCACCGCTGAGCCGAGAGATGTGAGACCCTTTCTGACCTCTGGAGTTGATTCCAGCAGCATTTGGGTGTATGCTCACAGGGGCAACATGGTCCGAGGCAGGTGGGTTCTTTTCAGATTCCATGGGAGGTGTCCAAATGTCTTTTGAATGATGGTGGACTCACTGAACGCGGAAATCAGGGGACTCACCCATTTGGCCGGGAAACCGGGGTCCCCTTTTTGGATGGTAAGGGGACACCAACAAGAAACATCAGCCGCCTGAAGATTTGGCCCCTAGTTTTTGAGCAACGCGCCATATCCTGAGCCAAGCATCAGGCAACCCTTAGTTGGTGGTGATTGGCGGTTTGGGATTTGAACCCCGGCTCTTGCGGGCTCCAAGCGAGCAACTCGAGGGCTGAACCATCCTGAACCACCAAACCACAAATTAAGAACACCACCAAAAAGCATGAGGCATGGCTGAACCACCAATGAAAACCACCAATAAAACCACCAATACAACCTCAACCACCAATACAACCACCAATAAAACCACCCAAGCTGGACCAAATTCGGCATCTTCGGAGCTTTGCCTCGCATCTTCGGCATCGCTCATGCCGTGAGGTTCTCTCCTGGCCACGGCCTGCTGGGACGGCTGGTGGCGCATCTTCGAGCTGAGCGGAAGTGGCTCTTCGCTGCGGGAAGTGCACCACGGAGGTGCGGCTGGGGGAGGTGGGGTGGAGTAGGTAGGTGGTAGGTAGGTGGTAGGTGGGGTAGGTCGGGTAGGTGGGGCTTTGGTGGTTTATTCTTTGGTGGGGTTTTGTTTGTTTGTAGGTGGGGGAGCACTGGAGCTTCCAGTGGCGCTTGCTTTTTCAAACAGAACAAAAGATGCTCTGGTTGAAGTTCCCGGCGCTTTCGTGTGGGCTGGGCTTTGTCTCAAGTTGGCGGTTCGGTTCTTTTGGCTTCTGTTGGCGCAACCGACGTTTGGGTATGTTTCGAGCTCCGGCTCTTTGCGACTTCATGGTCTCAAGGATTCAATCCCGCACGGCGCCAGGGCTCCCCCACAGCAGTTGAGCCACGTCCTCAAAACCCGGGTAGATGAAGGTTAGGAGTGGACAATCCCAGCCAGAAGCAGCTGCGGATATCCGCCTTCTTAATTCTTGAAGCATGGTTCTGGGATCACCATTCAAAACCGGGTTTTGAGCAAGTGGCTCAGTTGGATCGCCTGTTTGCAGGTGGGAGATCGGGTCTTCGGTTCCCACTTTCGGTGATGCCGAGGCCCAGTCTGACTGTGGAACTGGGATAGTAACCAGATCGCAAGCAGCGAGGTTCAGTCAACGTAGGCCTGTCGGCCGTGATCAATGTGGGGTTAAAGGACATATCGCCTGCGAAATCGATTGGGGTGGGCCGAAGGACGTGGTCGGGAACCTTCTAGGCGACCCTTCCGAATTTGCGCATATCTTGGTCTGCTCACTGGAGTTTTTGTGATGGGAGCCGCGGCGGGCCGCGTTTGTTTTGGGCCTCGGCCATCCAGGTGGCTTGTATGCAGCAACTCGGCGTGAGAGAGGGACGCTTCTCTGGGGGCGTCTCGTGTGTTTTTTTTAGCACAAGTTCCGAGAAGTGCAACAGGGGAAGATGTGTTCGTTTCTACACCTTCCATTTGCTTGTGTGAAAAGCGTGACTGCCTTTTTGGCGTCGAAAGCCAGCAAGGAACAAATGCGACCAACAGGACCTAAGGAGACCAAGCCATTGACTGACCATCCTTTCAGAACTGCGAAATGGGGAGGTGCTGCGGCTTGGGGCCGTTTTGACTGCTGGAAGACCTCTTTGGCAGGTTCCATGTGATTCGTTTTTGGGCTTTCCGGCCGTAAGGTCGCGCCGGGCTTCCCTGGGCTCGGCGATTTGTTTGCGCAAGGCTTTGTTGCTTCAGGCCTTTGGGGCTGAAAAAGAGCAGCGAACAGTCTCGAGGGTCTTAGTTCCCGGGATGAGCATCAAAAAATAGTTATTTTGGGGATCAACAAAAAATTATTTAGGGGATCAAAAACAAATTATTGAGACCTAGTCTCCGGTCCCCTGCTCTCCTGGTCTCCTGGTCTCCTGGTCCTTGGTCTCCTGGTCCCCATGTCTCCTGCTGGTCCTGGTCCCTGGTCTTCTCGTGTCCTGGTCCCCGTGTCTCCTGGTCGCCTGGTCTCCTGGTCTCCTGGCCTCCTGGTCTCCTGGTCTGCTGGTCCTTGGTCTCCTGTGTCTTGTCTCCTGGTCCTTGGTCTCCTGGTCTCCTGGTCTCTTGGTCTCTTGGTCTCCTGGTCTGCTGGTCTCCTGGCCTGCTCTCCTACCCGAAACCGACCCTAAACCAAACTACACCCACCCTAAACCAACCCAAAACCAACCTACAAACCAACCTTGAAACCGACCCTGCGCAACTTTTAAACCAACCCTAAACCCGCCCTAAACCAACCCTAAACCAATCCTAAAACCACCCTAAACCCAATTTAAACCTCCCAAAACCCTCCCTAAACCCACCCTAAACCCACCCTAAACAGACCCTAAACTAAACCTAAACCCACCCTAAACCAATCCTAAACCAACCCCAAACCCACCCGAAACCCCAAACCCACCCGAAACCCAACCAAAATTAACCCTAAACCAACCTTGAAACCAACCCTACACAACCTTAAGCCAACCCTAAACCCAGCCTAAACCAACCCTAAACCAACCCTAAACCTGCCCTAACCCTACACTTACCCCAAACCACCGTAAACTTAGCCTAAACCATCCCTTAACCCAACCCTAAACCAACCCTAAGCCACGTAAACCGGCACTAAACCCAGCCTAAGCCCACCCGAAAACTACACTAAACAGACCCAAAACCAACCTAAGCCAACCCTAAACCCGCCCTAAACCTGCCCGAAACCTACCCTAAATTATCCCTAAAAACCCTAAACAACTTTCAAGCCCCAAACCAAACCTAAACCCACCCTAAACCAAGCCTTACCCAGCCTGAACCATCCCTAAACCAACCCTAAAGCAACCCTAACCAAACCTCATCCAACCCTAAACCCACCCTAAACCAACCCTACTGACCTTCAACCGAGCCTAAACCCTAAACCAACCCTAGACCCACCCTAAACCCGCAAACCAACCCTAAACCCACCCTAAACCCACCCTAAACCTACCCGAAGCCAACCTAGAACCACCCCAAACCCAACCTAAACCAACCCTAAACCAACCCTAAACCAAGCTAAGCCAACCCCAAACCCTCCCTAAACCAACCTTGAAACCAACCCTACACAACCTTAAGCCAACCCTAAACCCAGCCTAAACCAACCCTAAACCAACCCTAAACCTGCCCTAACCCTACCCTACCATTACCCGTAAACTTAGCCTACCATCCCTTAACCCAACCCTAAACCATTCCCAGGCCAAACCTAAGCCACCCCTAAACCCACCCTAAACCCACCCTAAAGCAACCCTAAACCCACCCTAAACCCGCAAACCAACGCTAAACCCAACCTAAACCTACCCTAAACCAACCTAAATCCACCCACCGTAAACAAACCCTAAACCGTCCCTAAACCAAGCCTGAACCCACCCCAAACCCACCCGAAACCCAACCTACATTAACCCTACACAACCTTAAGCCAACCCTACAGGCATTTAACCGATGCTAGATTCGTTGATAGAACTGCGCTTGTATCTGAAAAGTTGTGATTTTCGAACTGGAGCTGCCAAAGTGACCTTCGCGTACTGCGCTTGTATTGGAAAGTGTCTATTTTACAGCTGGAGCCGTAAAATGCGCGCGCTGTTGCCCGAAAATGATGTAAATTACAGCGTTTTGGCACCCCCAGGCGAGATAATTTGTTTTTGATCCTGTAAATAATTTGTTTTTGATCCGGGTGTCGATAATTTCTTTTTGATCCCGTAAATAATTATTTTTTGATCCTGCACCCTTAGTTCTCAAGGAACACCAGCCTCAGATGAACAGAAGAAAAGCGCATCGCAGGAGAGCGGGAAAGACCAGTGGGTGCTCTCGCTACGCAAAGCTCAGGAACCCTCCCCATATATATATATATATATATATTTCCAGGCGCTTTGTCGCATGGGTTTTCTCGAAACAAGGCAAGCTAAATTTCAAGCGCGCGCAACTTCCCGCAAAAAGCAAACAAACAACAAAGAAACACAAAAAGACGGGGGAAATCAGACTCCGCACCAGGTTGAACCAAGAAGTCCACAAGTCCTTCCCGCAGACTCCGCACCAGGTTTGAGCTTCAAAGGCTGGAAACCGCTCCCGCAGCCCATTTCCCTCAGATCCATCGGATCGGATTCGCTCCACCGAACTCCATGGCCTTCCGCCTGGCGCTTTGGTCGGCGCTGGGTTCGGCGCTGCTGGCCGGCGCCCGCGACTGCAGCAAAGAGGATTGCGAGGAGGTGGGGGGTTTGGTGGGGAGGGGGGTTGGGTTGGGGAAGGACAAAAAGTAGGGGATCGAAGACGCTCAGATACGGTAGTCTTTACCATAAACTATGCCAGCTAGAGATTGGAGGTCGTTAATTGCACGACTCCTTCGAGAAATCAAAGTCTTTGGGTTCCGAGGGGATGGTCGCAAGGCTGAAGCTTAAAGGAATTGACGGAAGGGCATCACCAGGAGTGGGGGGTGGGTGGCGGGGTTGGTGGGTGGGTGGGTTGGTGGGTGGGTGGGTGATGGGCACTTGGGGTGTATTTGCAACCTCCTTCGATTTGGGGTGTTTGAGGATGTTTTTTGGGGTAGGCTGCAACAATATAGTCTAAGTGTCCACGGCACGGCGGGGGGGGGGGTGACGGCATGCGATATGTTGGTTTTCCGGCCCGCCATCTGCGAGTTCTTGCCCACTTGTTTGACTCGCGCGAATGTCATTCCTGCAGGCCACTCGTCGTCCAAAGGGCATCTGTGCAACAAGTCGTGCTTCTTGGGTTTGTGAAGCCAGGCGTCAGAGGCCGTCCCATGGGCCTTTGACACAGGAGTCTTTTAGCTTGAGTTGGACGTTTTGCTAGGGACTTTCTTCGGGAAATCCCTGCAGAAAACCTACAAACAGGAGGAAAAACCGCCAAATGAACATGCGCAGGGCCCTTTGGAGCAAGGGTTCCAAAGGCCCGGGGAAGAAGCCAGGTAGAGGCGGCTTTTGCAAGTGAGGCATGGCACTTTGGCAGGGCAGCTTCCCCTGCGTCCAAAAACACCGGGAACAGCATCCTAAAGGTGGGGCTTGTCCTCCTGAAAACGCCACCGCCAACCGGTGCCCTCAAAAAATCGGCTAAGTGAGGCACACACAATGTTTTTCGGGCTTCATGAACGGGACGTGTCGAAGTCTGCGGATTAAACCGCTGCACAAATGGAGGTGGAACACCAAACTTCTGTCCCCCCGCATTTGTAAGTCGGGTACATTGAACATGGACATTTTCTTTCAACATGCAGATGCTCCTCAGACAGGGCTTCCTGCACGTCTCTTTTATTTGGGACCTTCACAAGTCTCAGTTTTTGGTTGGACTTCACCAGTCGACTGCAAGATCTGAAGGGGACGCCTGTGAGAACGGGTTGCTTCAGGCAGAGCTGCTGCAACACAAGAAGTGGTCGTACAATGTGCCTTGCGCTTGAGATCGAACCCGGGTCCGGGGATTTGGGGGAGGGGGGGGGGCAGGGGGAGGTAGTTTCGTATCCTGTCAGGTCTTCACTTGCTGTGAGTATCTCTTTTACAGCATGTGACCATGTCATGCATTTCGTTCAAAAGACTTGCTTTCTTGGGGTTATGGTGATGGAATCTGGGTTTTGTAATACTCTGGTGACCAAATACAACTTACATACACCAGGAAGTGGGCGCAATCCACCCTGTTTTGCCCAGAGTCACAAGACACCAATCAGCTGGGGGCTGGGACGGATTTCAGACAGAGCGCGTTTTGGCCGCCTGAAATAGGCTCCCAACCTTTCCGGAGCTGCAACTTTCTGGGTGAATTATAACGACCTCACACGTCATTCACCCCAAATGGTAGGTAGGGAACAAGCCCCCCATCGCCTTATTTCAGGTTTGGTGAAAAATCTGGGTATGGCTCAAAATTAAAGAGCCCAGAGGCAAACCGCGGGTTTTAGTCCTTGGTTCCATGTACCAAGGTGGCCATTTTGGATTTCCACTTTTTGGAGCAGCCACATATTGCATGCTGCACCCAGAAAACTTTGCACCTTGCCGCCAAATCACCCGGACAGCAAAGCGCGCACCTCGGTGCCGAATTTCGGCGGTCCGGTTCAAACCCCAGGCCCCTAGGAGACATTTTTCGAGTGCAATCTCGCTGCCCACATGGATCTGTCTGTCCTTTTTTTTTTAAAGGGAGGGCCATTTCTTTGAAATGGATTTGTTTTTCCGTTCTTCAGGGCGGGTGGCCTTTCGCCTCTTTTTGGTGATCCACCCCCCCCCCCCCCAGTTCTCCGCAATGGCGATTTTACTTTTGGCGTCCCTATCAAACCACGGCCAAGAGAGGGCACCCTCGAGGTTTCCTTCCAAAGGTTGAACCGTTCGCGAGGACGTGACGCACATGGTACCGTTCGCCAATCCAAAGCAAGGCAAATCAATCCAATCCAAAACCACCACGCAAAAGTGCTTTAAGGGGCTCAATAGTTCCAAGGAGGCTTGTGGGGTACTTGAAATCCAGATTACGTCATGATCAGAGTTTCATGCGTGCAAGTTGTTTGGTCCTTCTATTGCACGGCTCAATTTTTGGCGGCAAGCTGATTCTCCCCCCAAAGCAAGGGGCAACGCCAGGTCGACGATAGTAGTTCAATGTACTTGAAGTAATTGTTTGCTGGGGCTGGAGCTTGCTGTTTGCTGCTTGGAGAATGCAACAAGGACCTGATTCGCACACATGACATATTTCTTGTTTTGTTCTTCTTTTCCCATTGCCTACTGTTGTTCAAGTTCAAATCCCGACCTAAAGATCCAAATCACAGCAACACGCCAGCTTGGGGACCATCGGTGTCCTGTTGATTGTTTAGTTTGAATAGGACTAGATGGGTTCGATTGGTGTAGACGGGTTTTGTTCCATTCACCAGAAGTTCTCATCTATTTGTCCAGAAGCTCATCTGTTGACACTGGCCTAGGTTGGTTTTCTTGCATTTACCAGGGAAAGTTTGGTCGATTTGTGCAAAAGGTCGCCTAGAAAGTTGACCCCATGAATCAACCCCAGCTTACCAATAGTGGGGTGTCCGTGGGCTTGGGAATCAGACGCACGTTTGGAGGGGCGTTCACCATGAGTAAGCCGGGGTTGAAAATTGAACAGGAGGGGCAAACCGCAAATTTTTGGAACCATGTTTCCACTTACCAGGATAGGGAGTTTGGGGGTGGCCAAATAAAAAAGCACAGCAACAGCTTGTGTTTGTATGCGTCTGTGGTTTCAAATCCTCAAATCCAAGCAACAACATGTGTGTGTGTGGTCTTCAACCCAAAAACATCCTAGGACCTGCAGTACATCGTGCTCCCGGTCAGCGAGGACAGCGACACCTACCTCAGGAAGACCAAGCCCAAGGTGGCGTTGACCACCCGGGGCGGCGGCACCCGCGCGCAGTCCGGCGTCACGGGGCAGCTCAGGCCGGGGGGGGGGGGGGGGAGGATTTTGATTTTTCGTTTGCTTCTCTTTGGGGGAGAGGACGCCCAAGGAAGTCGCGGCGAAGTCATGCATCATACATATATGTACCAGTCCCTGGGCCACGTACCCCTCCCCCCACTCCCCCGCATCATCCGCATCTTGGGGATGATGCTGGCAATGCTGGGGATGCTGTCCAGTACCGTGCGAGCCCTGCAGCTTCGGTCCCAGACCCCCTTTCACCCCGTGAACCAACACCCCCGCACCTCTCGCAACATCCTACCCTAAACCAAACCACCCTGCAACCCCTCCTTAACCCCAACCCTAAGCCTAAATCAACCCAAACCCAAACCCACCCGAAACCCACCGCAAACCAACCCTGAACCAACCCTGAACCAACCCTAAACCAACCCACCAAGCCTAAACCAACTCCGAACCACACCCCAACCACCCAACCACCCACCACCCCAACCCCACCACCCCACCACCCCACCCCCCACAGGGGGGCCCCACCCACCACCCAACCACCACCCCACCACCACCACCCACCCCACCCCCACAGGGGGGGGGGGGGGGGGGGGGGTCCACGGCCTGGAACATATATGGGTGTGGCTCAAAATTAGACAGGAGGGGCAAACCGCTGGTTTTGGTCCATGTTTCCATTTACCAGGGTTCCATTTTGGTACCGGTTTTTTGAGCCACAGCCATATATATATATATATATATAAATATATTATCTTATTGTCTTTCATGTGCTTTCATTATATTTCATGTGTTTTCCGTGTTCACGTTTTGTTTTCCCCTCAGTTGTTTGTAGGAGAACTCTGTCATATGTGTAAATTTACTGTCTTTGATTGTGTTGTATTTTTTGTTCTCGTTTTGTAGTAGCTTGTTTGAACACGGTTTGGTTTGGTTTGGCTTGTTTTGTATGTTTATTGTATTGTGTCTTTTGTTTTAGGGTGCCTTTTGGTTAGTCATTTGTTATTTGTATTGCATGGCTTTGTTCGGCTTCGCCCGGTATTTTCTCCGGTTTGTGCATGGTTTTCGTGCTGGACGGGGAGAAGGGAGGCTTTTGTCGCTGGTACCGGCTACCCTTTGGGCAACAGGCAAGGACCAGGGGAAGAGGAAAAGGTGATCTCGTCGTGGGAATGACTCACGGTTCACACGGCGACCGGGGCCCCCAAATGGGTGGTTTCCTTTTGATTTCCAACTTTAGACCAAGGGGAAAGGGCGGAGGGTGTTGATAAATCAGGGGGTGCTCCTGAGACTCAGCAAGTTTCTCATTGACCGCGGCACCCTGAAACCCGACACTGGCCGAACTCACCTCCAAGTAGTTTTTTCCACCCACCCTAAACAGAGGCCTTCGCATCAGACCCATACGTTTGGCAGTATATCAGCAATCGATTGCAGCCCTGGTAAGTTTTAGCTTCATAGCGGCTTTTCCGTCGGTCTGAGGATTTATTACGATTCACCCCGATACATGTAGCGTGTTGGGACCCAGATGGCACCAAGCGCTTTGATCCATCATTGGGGTGGTTTCCAAGAATTGGGGACCACGCATACTTGGTCGGTTTTCTTTCGGCTCCCCCCAAGTTTTGGGCAGCCCTGCGCGGCTCGAGATGGGGTCCCGAAGATGTGGGCCAGCTGTTGGAGCTCGTTCCGGTGACATGCGGTGCCGCAAGACAAATCAATCCCACCTTGTGCCATCTTAGGTGGTTCTGCTGCCCGGTTTCATTGAGATAGCAAAGCCCGTACGCCATTAGAACCAGGTTAGAACCACCAGTCGAGGTGCTTTGCGCGCTGCGGGCACGGGATTTCCGACCACAACACCACCTGGGCAGAAAGAAATGCTGGCTTTCAGGAAGCCACTCCACAGGTTGGACGGGTTTGGTTTCACTCTCCACAAAGCAGCGGGGACTTGGCAGAGAGTTGGGACTGCTTTCCAGAAGACTTTTCCGCCGGCTGGACAGGTTTCCAGAGGGCAGAAAGCCGGAGACTTGGGGGGACTTGGGGGCGCCAGGGCTCTGGAAGACATGGGGCTCCTGGACGAGGCGCGACCCGGGGTGAAGGACCCAACCGGGCGAGAGAGCGGTCTCTTCTGCTAAAGCGCGCCGGTCGAAAGAAACAACCTCCGGGAGAAGCCAATGGCGTCTGTTTTCCCCTTCTTTGTTTCTTTACTTCTTCTTCTTACATATATAAATATACCAAATATATATATATATATATATATATATATGCAACCCCCCCCCCCATGGACCCTGGTTTTACTGCCTTTGGGGGATGGCAAATCTAGAATTTCCAAATTTATATTCTCGAAATGTCCAATTGTGGGTCCCCAAAGCGTGATAATTTGGAGCCCGGAGTCCTCCACAATGTCCCAGTATGATACCCTTTGCACATAAGATGTTACTTCAACTAGAATTGGAATTTTGAATATAGTTTAGTATGGATATAGTTTTCAAAAATGTGTTTATGTTCAATTACAGCTTAAACAAGCAAATCCTTTCCAAATAGCAGCTACATGAAAATGTAAATATATATTTTCGGCTAAACTCCAACTAATCTATAACACAAGAAGTTAGATGGAAGTTGTTTCCCAAATATAATCCAAGTGGTAAGTGTAATCTAAGACGAACACAACTCAATTTGCTTTTGATAATATCAAGTGAATAGAGACTACATCTCAAATATAATTCATATTAAATATGGCTAAACATTTGGACATTAAAAATAGGATTTGTGTTGTTTACATTCTGACCCTTTTGTAGCATAAGAAAGGTCCGACATTGAACTTGTTAGACGGTGTTCCAAAGGGAAATTTCAAGGGAAGAGAGGTTCAAAATCTAAAACTATCTCGCAACAGGGATTCTAGCTAAACCGTTGTATTTAAAGTTCTATGTGCGCAGGAAAGTTAATTCTATGTCAAAAGGTGGAGGTAGTAGATGAGCAAATGTGGACAGGTAGTTGAAGAGGGTGGGGGACAGTGTGTGAACGTACATACATATGTATATCAAAAAACACATACATACATACACACATATATAGTACCCCCAATGATCCTGCGCCTCCTCATAAAATACTGGAAAATGCAGTATTTTTGAGCGTTGCACCTGCCTTTGTTTACCTCCTGGAAAGGGGTCAACATGAGCATAGCTGACATGAAGCTCACCAAAAGCACTTGAAAGTTTGTCTAACCAATAACTTGAAAGTGTGTCCACTGGATCGCTAAGCACTTGAAAATTTGCTACTATCGGATGGAAGATTCAATATTGAAGATTACACAGAACACTTTCCTGAGAATTGTCAATCCTGGCCAAACCCAAATAGCATTCAAGTTCTTCTAACACTTGAAAGTGCTTTACCACTGGATTGGGGATTCAATATTGAGGAGCCCACAAACCACAACTTTCCTGAGAATCATCCATCCTGGTCAACCCCTAAAATGTTCAAGTTGTTCTATCACCTCGAACATCCGCTACCACTGGGTTGAACTATTTCACGGAAAACTTTTCCGAGAATCTTATCGAACACCGAGAGTATTGGGACAACCCTGGAATTTTTAATAATTTTTAAAAATTATGGGATTCAAGATTCAAGATTCAAGATTCAAGATTCCCAGAAAATATTTTCTCAGATTCTTGAATCTTGAATCTTGAATCCAGAATTTTTAATAATTTTTAAAAATTATGGGATTCAAGATTCAAGATTCAAGATTCCCAGAAAATATTTTCTCACATTCTTGAATCTTGAATCTTGAATCCCAGAATTTTTAATAATTTTTAAAAATGTCTGAGTTGTTCTTGTATTATTGGATGCATTCAAACTCTTTCAGATTGCAGGTGCTGATGTCATTGCTTTTATCACATCTGTATGCATGCATGCGTATCATATACATGTACGACCCTCCCCCCAATTTTGACACAAATCCAAGAAGCAAAAAGAAGCATAAAACACTGGAAAATACAGGTCAACCGCACCAAACCAGGGTCCATGGGGGGGGGGGTACCATATATATCTATATGTATATATGTACATATATACATGTATATGCACATCTCACATCGTCGGGGATTGCCTCCCCCATTTGAATCGGCTCGGACTTGGTCGTCTCTTTCTCGGGTTCTTCGAGGGCGTGCCTTAGGACTGGCTAGGAAAACCTTCAGAGAGGGCGAGTCCCCCGTTCTTCATTCCGCACGAGTCGTATTTCCCCCTTTTCACTGTGTCGTTTTTGCGCTAAGTCCCATGATTGGGGCTTCTTTTCAGTCACGATTTTAGTGTTCAGATTGTTCAGGTTCGCCAAATACCGGACCGCGATCAGCATGTTCCATAAATTCTCTTTGGTCCGGGGCAAAAAAGCTGTTGCAGGTCTCCAAGTTTGGGGCATCCCTGTGGGTGTCTTGTCATCTTTTTCCTTTTAGGATCACAAGAAACAGGGTACCCTAAACTGTGTTGCATCTTGCTTGGATGTTAGGACTTTAAACTTTTTGCCAACTCATGGGTTTTCCATGAAACCACTAAAAGTTAAATACTTTAGAGCCTCCGGCTCAGTCCGCCGACATTGTCCTCTCCCTTTTCTCCTTCTTCCTCTCTTCCTTGTCTCCCTTGTGTGCTCTCCCTCCCTCTGCTCCCATCCTCCCCATCCCCCCAAGCCTCTCTCTTCCCAATCTCCCTCTCTCGTATGTATGCATGCATGTACATAAGTATGTATGTATGCATGTATGTATGTATGTATGTATGTATGTATGTATGTATGTATGTAATGTAAGCAAGTAAGTAAGTAAGTAAGTACCTAAGTAAGTATGTATGTACGTAATGTATTTATGTATGTATGTATGTATGAATGTAATGTAATGTATGTATGTATGTAATGTATGTATGTATGTAATGTATGTATGTATGTATGTGGATGTACGTATGTATGTATGTATGTAATGTAATGTAATGTAATGTAATGTAATGTAATGTAATGTAATGTAATGTAATGTAATGTAATGTAATGTAATGTGTAATGTAATGTAATGTAATGTAATGTAATGTAATGTAATGTAATGTAATGTAATGTAATGTAATGTAATGTAATGTAATGTAATGTATGTATGTATGTATGTATGTATGTGTATGTATGTATGTATGTATGTATGTATGTATGTATGTATGTATGTATGTATGTATGTATGTATGTATGTATGTATGTATGTATGTATGTATGTATGTATGTATGTATGTATGTATGTATAATGTATGTATGTATGTATGTATGTATGTATGTATGTATGTATGTATGTATGTATGTAATGTATGTATGTATGTATGTATGTATGTATGTATGTATGTATGTATGTATGTATGTATGTATGTATGTATGTATGTATGTATGTATGTATGTATGTATGTATGTAATGTAATGTAATGTATGTATGTATGTATGTATGTATGTATGTATGTATGTATGTATGTATGTATGTATGTATGTATGTATGTATGTATGTATGTATGTATGTATGTATGTATGTATGTATGTATGTATGTATGTATGTATGTATGTATGTATGTATGTATGTATGTATGTATGTATGTATGTATGTATGTATGTATGTATGTATGTATGTATGTATGTATGTATGTATGTATGTATGTATGTATGTATGTATGTATGTATGTATGTATGTATGTATGTATGTATGTATGTATGTATGTATGTATGTATGTATGTATGTGTATGTATGTGTGTATGTATGCATGTATGTATGTATGTATGTATGTATGTATGCATGCATGCATGTATGTATGTATGTATGCCCACCCGCATGCATGCCCCCCAGAAAATTTTTCCAGCGGCAAAAGGATGCATTGGGACCCCTGTTTTGCGACACCGGCTGCCCCGAAGACTGGGACGTTTTGCGACACCGGCTCCCCGAAGACTACGTTTAGTGGAACGTCATCAAATTGCCGCGCGGTACGTGGGGGACCCCCCCCCCAAAAAAAAACCTACGTAATAGACGTCGGGCGGGGGGGGGGTTAGGGGGGGGGGTTATCCTCTATCCTCTAGTAAGTATCCGACACGCCGAGCAATGTCGGCGGACTTTTAGCAGGGGAGCAGAAAGCAACCGAGTAAAATAGAATTCGCCTCATTCACTTCTTGTCTCTACGCAGCTTCGTGTCGTGAAGTCTTTTTTCGATGAGCCATGGAGGTTGGCCATTCTAGGGACCCCCTTGTTTGGATGGAAGGGAACTGGGCAAAGTCACCTAAGGGAAGGGGGGTCTCTATTTTGCAAAAGACATGTGTTTTTTCTTGGTTTGAAGGGAAGCATCTAAAGGGGAAAGGTTTCATTTGGGGTTCCAATATCTTCACTCCTTTGTGTGAATGGACCTTGGAAGATTTTGCGGGCCATCCTATCAACCCAATACCCACTACACATCTTTCGCTATACAGCGAAGGATCTCTTGGCAGCAACTACAATTCGACCAACTGCGCGAGTATAAGCGTGGACGGGCCCAAGAGGAATCGTCAAGTAGGTAGGTGTCAAACCCCAAAAATGTGTGATTTCCTTTAGGGTCTATAGCTATGAATTTAGATAGGGCTGAAAGGTGTTTGGCGGACCTGAATCCCCACCCAAATGACGTCGACCAAGGGTCTACCATTTAGATCCACACCCATATTGCTGGGGTCATTATTTTGACTGCTTCCAAGGGTTATCGTAGTCAACAATTGGGTGTTGTTTCCCTTTAACATATCACTTGGTGGGTGGCTTTGACAATGGTAAAATAGCAGGGCTATTTTGGTGAATAAGAGACCAACACAAAAACAACAAAAACAACAACAACAACAACCAAACAAAACAACCAAAGAAAAAACAAACAAACAAAAACAACAACAAACAACAAAACAACATACCTAGAGGAAGTACTCGCCAGGTGGATCAGATGCAGGCGATCTCGGGGGCTGGCTGGGCCATGGCTCCCTACCTCTTCGCGCCCAAGGATACATTTCTGCAAGCGGCCGACCGCGTCTTTTTGGGTGTGGTTTTTGTGTGGGCGTCGGAGTTTTCCGAAATTCAGTTCCTGAGTTCATGCACGTGAACAAATTTGTTGAAAGATTAGAGTTGCTACGGAATTTCCAGGGACCCCTCAAAAGGGTGCCTTTCGTTGCGAGTAGGATGGGAGCAATCTTGTTTTAGGCGTCACATAGGGGGAGAGAATAGGGAGGTGATGCAGGCAGTGTCACGTGAAGGGACTGATCCGTTCTTGAGTTGTCGTGTGGTCATAATTTCGTTCGCTTTCTATTGGCAAATAAGAAGTTTGGCCGTGTTTTTTTGGCCAATCAACTCAAGATCTGAGGTAAAGGGACAATCCAGTTGCCAAAGGTAAAGAATCTCAGGACAATTTCGATCACCCGACTTTTTCCAGGAGTGGAATGCCTACCCCCGAGTTCGGTCCTGCCCGCCAGTATGGCAACACATTTTCTCCGAGCTTTCCCTCCCGCCAATGCACATGGGAACTTGACGAATTCTTTGGGGTCCTGGTTTAGACCACCTCAGGTTCCATGGTTTTAAGGGGGGGGTAAGGTCCCAGTCAAAGAATCCTTCCGGTTTGGGTGTCCTGTTTCTCTTCCATAAACCCGCCCGCGCTTGGGGTTCAAATCTACTGGGGGGGGGGTGGCGGATCAGGCCAGCAGCAAAGCTAGGGAGTGTGATGGCGAGCTCGGGTAAGACGAGTTCATTGTCCAGTAAGGGGATCCCGTAAATCCAGGCGAGCAGCGTCCAAGCCAATTTGTCGATAGGCAATTCTAGCAGGTGTTGCCGGGGCCACTCGATCTCGCTCGCGAACGTGTGGAGCAGGTGGTTCTACTACCTGGTTTCATGGAGGTTATGGTAAGGCCCATACAAACGACTGTGTAAGCATATTTGTAGAGAGGAACATCAAGGAGGAAGAAAGATGTCCCCTGAAAATCTTTACCTGTACCGCCCACTTTTTCCTGTTCTCCTGTCTCTTGTTTATTCACATCTCCCGGAGGGTCAAAACTGAGACCGCTCAAAGGACATTTGAGGCTGACAACACACGGGCCCAGAGTTGGGGGGCGAAGGGTGACGAAAGGTGAGGGAGAAAAAGAGTACCAGTAACAGCATCATTTCAATCTTATACGCTTTTCCTGACCCACTCAAAGCCTTCATAGTGGGTACCGACGCCTTTTTCCTGCTTCCTTCGTCGGTTCCATGTCGGCTTGCTTTGGGACTCTGATTTTCTCAAAGCCTCAACCTCGCAATGCTGAGTCCATTAAAAGTGATCTCCAAAGCTCAAACTCTATATAAATGGTGCCAGCCAGATGGACACAACCCTCGAAAGTAAATATGAGAGGACCAGAAATGGCGAACGAACATCAATCGAGTTTTCTACTTTGCTCTTGACATGGGCTTGTGACGGTATTTGTCAAAATAGGGGGGACCCCGCCAAAACAAAAAAACAACAACACCGCAACAACGTGTGGTTTTCCTTTGGTTTCCTTTCAAGCCACACCTAAAACAGGGGTGGCCCACTCTGCTGAGTCGGGAGGAGCACTTCAGCAGTAGGGACCTGCTCGGGGAGACCACCTTCGGCAAACTGGACGAGCCTTGGAGCTGGCGATGCCGAAGTTACATGAAGTTACACATGGGGCATTGTCAAACATCGCCACCCCCCTAAAAATGGAATTGGGGGAGGGGGGTGACCCCTGGAAATCCATTTCCGGTTCCATTCTCCCTTTTCTTGGGAAGACTCGATACATGGAATTGACCCCCCTCCCCCGTACAGCAGGGGGGATTGCCAAACATATGGACTCTTTTTGGGACCTGGTGCACCGAAGAAGCCGCTTTTGAAAAGGGGATACCAAAAAAGGACCCCTATTTTTGACAAACCTTCACATGGTATGGGACGGGGTTTGAGGGATGCTCGAAAAGGTAGGCCTTTTTTTTTTTTTTGGGGGGGGGCTTCAATTTATCCACACGTCACTGTCCTGTGACGTGATGTGTTTAATCGCGCCCACAACGCCTTGTATTGTCTCTACGGGCATGGCCAGTGGCCATTGTCATCTAGGTCAACCAAAAGGCAACCCAAGCTCAAGATGGGTGATTCTCAAAATAGGGGTCCCTTTTTGTACGGTTTTAAGGGGGAAACCAAAAGCACACCAGAGACACCCAGACAAGGGTTCCTGATTTCAGGTCTGTGATTTGGTAGCGCTGGTCAGACCTACCAGTTGCCGATCGGACACCGGATCAAGATGCGAACACTGAGTGAATAAGAGTAATGCCCCACAAATTCGACAAATGGTCGCGTTTGGTTCCGTTCAACATTTGGTGACCGATATACCTATGCAAGGGTCAATCTTTAGATTGGGGCACACTCGCCAAAATACCATTGTGGCTCATACATCTTGGGTCACCGAGGCATTGACCCCTGGCAAGGAGAGTGGTCGGGGACATCCGCTTATCCGGTAAAATCACAGACAATCCATTTGGTCAGTGGCTGCATGAATTGGCGATCGAATTTCACTTTGGAGCGGGTAAGTGTTTGACTAGTTAGCTTGAACCCCTCTTGTTGTGACATCTGTCATGTTGGCTGTCGACCACATTCTGCCCGCCATACCTTCACGCCTTCGGGCTCCGTTGTTTATTTCTTTCCTCCCACCCACCCCTTTCTTGGATTCCAAAAAGTAGAAACCAGCGGTCAAACACAAGGCGCATACTTCGGGACCGATTCCTTTTTTTTTTTTCCCCGGCCTCCCTTAAAACGCATTCGAGAAGGTCTTGAGACAGACCTATTTTGGAACAAGCCCCAATTTTGAGCCGGAGCCATTTGGCTGTGGCTCAAATAAATGTACCAAAATGGCACCTTGGTAAATGGAACCAAAGACTAAAACCTGCGTAACCCTAGCTGTTTAATCTTGAGCCACAGCCATTTTGTGGGGTGTCTTTTTCCGAGGGCACTTTTTTGTTCGGTAGTTTCAAAGGACGTTTCAAAAGGAGCATTGAAATCCATTGTGGGTCCCGGCCTTAAAAACGTGACGAGCGAGATCGATGTCTTCACCCAGTTGCCCAGTGGTGCCCATTTTTCCATTTTTTTTGGGAAGGGTTCCCTTTAAACTCGGCCAACCCAAAAAACACGGATGCCGATTTACTTATTTTTTCCCCTGGACATCCACTTTTTTTAGTTTTGGGTTCCCTTTAAAACTCAACCAACCCAAAAAGAAATCGGAGGCCGATGTTTTTCTTCCCCCACTGGCCATCTGAGTCGATGTCTTTCAGGGAAACCAACCAGCAGGGATACAGGGGGAACCAGGGCTGCGGGGGGATTCCCCCTAAACGCACCATGATGAAATTTGATATGGGAAATGCTCCAAGGGAATCCCCGCTCCCTAAGCCCTAAACCCTACACCCTAAACTTTTACTGGCCGCCAGCTGCATCTCCCACCCCCCTCCGCACTGCCGCTTCGCTGGTCCAAGGATCTGACCCTCGCGGCCATCGCGACGCCCAAGGGCCAGCTGATCGCCACCTGCAACGCCTCGCTGCAGACCTACCTCGGGGTGGCGGCGCAGATCGGCGTGGCCCCGGAGATCCTCTGGAACGCCGCTCGCTCGCGCAAGCGCGAGCGCGAGCGCGAGACGGCTTCGGCCAAAAAACGGGGACTGAGGGGTTGGGTGTTGGGGGGGAATGGGGTGGGGGGGGAGTTGGGTTTTGGGGAGAATGGGGGGAAGGTGAGGTCCTGGAAGGTGGGGTAGGTCCCCTTTTTTTTCTGGATGAGTTGGTGGGTTTTGAAGAGAGACTAGGTCCCACGCCGCTTCCCCTTCGGCGTCGGCGTCCGCTTCGGTTTTATGGGGGCAGGGGGGGGAAGGGGGGGGAAGGGAGGGGGGGGTGAAGTAGCCGACTTGCCAGTCCTGGAACATGGGTATGGTCCTTTTTTTTTCTTCTTTTTTCTTTCGAGGTGGGCTTTGAAGAGAGAGACCAAGGGGAAGCCACCATGTTGGAGGAGTCGCCTGAAGCAAGACACACCCATATGTGAATTGGTGAACCTCAGTGTCTTTCTCCTTTTGAATGGTGATGGTGAATGAGTTATTTGGAATGCCTTCCATTGGTTTCGCGCAGACCAATGGGAGAACGGGGCCACCAGCACTTTTCCAACGCGACGGCCATGTTCGCTCTCGACCTTGGTTTTGGGGTCCAACAAATATGGTACACTCTTCCGGGAAGCAGCCGGTGAATCAGAATTCGACTTCGTCAGAGAAAACAACATGGTGGTTCTTTGTGCTTGCAGAGTCATGTCTGGTGCTTAGCGATTTGGGTCTGTGTCAAAATGGGGGAACCCCGCGAAAACTAGCCCAACAGTCAGGCAACTACATTGCTTAAAGCAACCGCAGCCTGGATATCAGCTTGAACCCCAAAGGCCCGCCCTAAGATCACAGCCATCCGAAACCAAGCCAACTCTCACCAAATCAGAGCCGCCCAGCCAAGACTCCTCTTGCTCCAATCCCGGAAGGCTCTTGCCAAAGCCGGATCTAGTTGTGATGCACTTGCTTGCGTTGAATCAGGGCTAGTTGAGAACACCTTTGGTGGTAATAGGACTTTAACTTTTTGCCAACTAATGGGTTTTCCATTAAATCACTAAAAGTTAAACTTTTAGCAGTGGGGAGCAATTATCATTTCAGGTGTCGGAATCCCCCTACTCCGATTCCATGTTGTTGTTACTTTCCGGGGGCCAGGTCAGGATCAAGAACAGTTCCAGGACCGGCCAAAAAGAAAGCCGGAGTTGCACCCATGTCCCAACCCCCACAACCCAAAATATCCTCCTTAGAGATCTCGATCTCTTCGCTTTCGCGTTCGTTCCCTCGTTCGCTCGTTCGCTCGTTCGCTCGTTCGCTCGTTCGCTCGTTCGCTCGTTCGCTCTTTCGCTCGTTCGCTCGTTCGCTCGTTCGCTCGTTCGCTCGTTCGCTCGTTCGCTCGTTCGCCTCGAGCGTTTTGCCATGTGAAGGTCGTGGTTGGGGCGACCTACCTCTGCCCCTTCAAGGTGAACGCTGCCATCCCCGCCTGGCCTTTCCCTGGCCTCTGCACCAACGACAACGAGGACCAGGCGACGAGTCGACGACTCCGTCCGAGTCGACAAGTCCGGGGTCCGGGGCAGAAGCGCCGAACGCCGAAAAGGGTTCCCCCGGCGCCGCGAGCTGGTGAAAGCACTTTCGGAGACCCTCCCAACAAACGTAGCAGCTGTGGGAGGGTACCTGGAAGAGGGTTTTTTCCTCCAGTGGGAGGGAGGGTAGATCTTTTGAAAGGGGGCCATTTGGGTTCTGGAGGCTTCTGCATATGTTTGGTATGGTCAAATCTGGTTGTGCTTGGGCTTGACAGGAAGTTCGTCATGGACGCCTTGAGGAAGTTCAGACCATTCTAAGGCTCAGAGAGCGCCGTGACCTTTTGTTTTCGGAAGTTTGGACTGTACATATGGCTGTGGGTCAAAACCAATGCTACCATTTTGGGGTAGGTGCACAGCCCATTTTAGTCGGGATTTTAGTGGGGATTGGGATGTTCAGGTACTACCCTTGGACTCTGTCCCACCCCCCCTCCCCGCCCCCCACGCCCCCTCCCCGCCGCCGATTTTTAGTAGTCGTTGCTCAATCCATTTGTGGGTAGGACAGCATCGAAGAGTAACTCACGCAGGGGCATTCGCATGACAAGGTTTTCTTTTGCTTTCTGCGGTTCTAAAAGGAATCCAGCCGGAAACTTTCACCAATTTCGGGGTTCCCCGATTTTAAGACACACCCAAATGAGCTCCAATCAAACTCGGGTGAAGGTTCGTACAGGGCAGTCCCGGTCAATAGCTGCGGCCGGGCAACCAGGATGGGTGTGTGTGTGTATGTGTATATGTTTGCGCGTGTTTTTTTCAGGTACCTATTTTGGGGGAAGCCAAAAGGTCTCCTAAATGGTGCCCGAAATGGGTGGGTGGGTTTGCTCACAAGGTAAGCCTCCCCCCCTCGCCCGGGTGGTAAAGAACGGGAAGTGCGGGATTCAAATATGGATGACATATGACTATAGTCATAAACATTATACGATTGAAAGATAGAATTGCACCCCCCCGATGGATCTACCTTCTTGCTGCTTGAAGACTGTTTTGGAGATGGAATGCAGTTGCTTTATGTGGAATGCCCCATGCGACTTGACCAGCGTCAGCTCACCCTAAGCAACGACATCTATCTCTTCAAAATCCAACTTGGAGTAGCAATTCCAATTATGTGTTTTTCTTTGAAAGGAGTTCCTATTTAAATTATTTTTAAACTCAGAAATTCTACCATGAACGTCAATTCGAAATAAAAATTCTAAATAACAATAGACAGTGGAGACACAATATGCCTATTCAAATCATCTTTAAGTCTAGAAATTATATTTGGTGTTGTTCACTTTTGATTTCTATTTGAGTTCTAAATAGAAAATTGAACAAATATTCATGGAAACATCTATTTTGAAAGAACATCTATTTTGAACATCCTTTTGAACATCTGTTTTGAAATGAGAAGGTACAATCAGTAAAACCTTTAAAAGGAAGCCACTATGTACATTCTCTTTAAAACTAAACATTCTATCCGAATTATGTACATAGCAGCAAATCAACCCGTTTGAACATCTAGGTTCAAATAAGAATTTTGACTACACATCTTGTTGGACAAGGAAATCCATTCTAAAGTCTCTTTAAACTAGAAACTCTACTAGGGCGTGTTCCTTATCAAATCCCATGCCAATTCTAATGAGAAAATTGAACAAACACAATCCTAGAAAAAGATCCCCTTTAAATCATCTTCCAAATCTAGTTTGAGACAAGAATTCTAATTCATTTTTGACTTTTAATTCTTATCGCCTACTTTGCATTCCAAGCAAACGCACTAAAAAAGCAAGTCAGAGTGAGTGTATTTGAACAGAAAGCATGTTTCCAATGAAATTCATTGATCAACCATCTACGAGAAATAAGTCCGATAAACCCCAAACCCTACACCCTAAACCTGTCCATTCTAAGCTGAGGTTTGGTCAGATATGGCGCCAATAGCCCCAAAGTAAAGTTCTGGAGCCAACAACCCAAAAGTAAAAAGCGAAACACACATCTGGAGCCAATGACCCCGCCCCCCCCCGGAAAAAAACAAGAAAAACGCCAGCAAGTTTCTGGAGCCAGAGACCCAACTGTTAAAAAAGGTAAAGAAGCAGAAGAAAATGTCTCTAGCCAATGGCCCAAAAGTAAAAATATTTTAAAAAAGAAAAACACATGTAAAATAAAGGAAAAAAAAGCAGGAAAGAGCAAATGAGCAAGCAACACACAACACAACTAAGAAAGAGAAAGCAAACACAACTGAGCCCACGGTCCTGAAGTAAAATGCTCTGACCATGTTTCTTCTTTTTTCCTTTTGTTTTTTTTGCTTTTCTTTTCAACATTTTTTTTTCAATTTTACTTATTTTTCTTCTAATTATTTGCTTTTGGGTGATTGGCTTGATAAGTTTGCTGTTTTACTTTGTTGCTTCTTGACTTTTGGGGCATTGGCCGCCAACATGTTACTTTGTTACGTTTTCACATTTGGGCCAATGGCTCTGACACGACATAGCTATTGTTTTGCATCTTCTGACAAAACCTCAGCTTAGGAATAGGACAGAGGAAATCCAAACCCACTGGCTGCGCCTTTCTTTGCCGCTTCTCCAAAGCCCCAAAAAGGCACACACCACTGCACATTCCAGTGAGTTCTAAAGGAAGGTAGATCCATGGGGGGGGGGGATACCGTAGAATTATATAAAACAGAACTAAGGCAAACCGCAATCACTCCATAAATAGATCGACGCACACAAATGATGTCATACGCGTGCGTACATACATTCATATAGACTGGGCCAACGTCAACGTCCGTGTGCCCCCTATCTTTTGGGCTCATGGGCTGGCACTCGGCGCGGCACTGAGGCGTAATCCTTCAGACAATTGGCCTGGGAGGACAAGTCATCCGCTGTAGGGAGCAAAGCCCGTGCGAAGGCTAGAGCCTGTACCTTGGTGTGACAGTTTCAACCAAGATGCGCATTCCAGGTCCGCGATCACTCCAGTCCTTGGAAGAACAAATGAGAATGACGGGCAAGTAGCAGCTCAGGCATGCTCCCTGATGTCATGGAATGAGCTTCGCTCCACAAGCCTGTGTGCCCATTGATATATAGAAGCAGCGCCAAGATTTCTTAGAGTCTGAGAAAAGTGGCTTTGGGGCCACGGCTTTGCAGACTCAAAAGGCATCGTGAAGGTGATAGCAATCTCTCAGAAACACGAGAAGATTGTTCTCACGGAGCAAGCCGCCATAGGTTTGCGTGCGCGCAGCCTTCGAAATGACTATTACCCACATTCCATTGTGAGAGAGTGCGTGACGTCCACTGTTGCATATCAAGAAGGCTGCACTGAGGGTTTCGAGTTCGAACCACCCTGTGCCTGACATGATGATGTTAGCCTGTGCAACTTTGAACGCCAGCATAGGACCTACGCAGAGTACCTTTTTGGCAGCGCCTCACATTCCGCACTGGCAGATGAGCGGTCTTTAGAAGTTGTCCAGCAAAAAGGTGGCGCTTGGCATGAGATTGGAAGATATGCCCTTGTTCTTTCTTACCCTACGTCCATTTCTATTCCTTGAAAACACATTGTCAAGATCAGACAAGTAAGTTTCGTACCACTGGTATCAGTCCTCAAATGGTACGCAGGATGAACCAGAAGCTCACAAAATTGAAAAAACGAGCCCGAGAAACCAAAGCCAAGGATATGTGAGGCAGACGGTCAAACAAAACACAGTACCAGATGACGGAATCACGCGCCATCGATGAACCTTCAGTTTCTATGCCACTTGGCTTGAGACGCATCATGAAAAACTGCGGAACCCTATCGAGCTTGTGAAGTTGCGCCTCAAGCCCTATCACATGTCGGTTACACAGTTTCGGAGCGCACATCGGCTTTAAAAAACCGTGAAGACCTTTACCTGGAGTACGACAACATTTGCAAGAACTGCGGCGCTTGTCAGGAGGTGAAACCAAAGCCGACGCATTCGCGAGTGAGTGGAATGCATTCTGAAGTCTTCGGCGAGTTGACTTTGGTTGACCGCGGAGAAGTTGAGTTCAATCTCAAGACGGACCCTCTCAAGTCGGACCCTAGTGATTCAAAGGGATCCAAATTTGCCCGCACTAGCGGTCGAAGAGGTAAACTCACTTTTCTTACTATTCTGGACGCAGCTACTTCCATGCTTCCTGCCTCTCCTGTTTCAGCCGCAAGTTTTGAGACGTACCCATTGAACCCGAAATCTCTTGCCGGAAAGCCTTGCAACCATTGTTTGAGCAGTGTTATCAGAGGAGGAACATCAGGCCTATTGCAACAGGAGCAAGCACGCCTTAGCCAAACCGGAATCCACGACTCGCGTCGCATGAAGCTCATGCTTGACGTGGTTCAACCGGATTCTTCATTGACTGGTGTTACATATCAGCAGATTATTCGCCAGGCGTGTGTGGCACGTAAATCCACAATGACTTTTGGAGGAATCACGCCCATCGAGGGAAGAAGATCGGCTGACGTCGCGAACGTCGAAACGGAAGATCCATCAGTTCTGACCTCAGACCACAGATCCGATCATGTCACTCAGGCCTTACCACTAGTTGCACTACGAACTTATCTTGAGGCCATACGTCAGATGATCGCTCGCCGTCGTGATCTTGCACAGGTTTTCCAAGTTCCTGGCAATAAAGTCGATTCGTTCAGACGGTACGATATTAGGAACATGGTCGAAGGAAAAGGTCCTTATCATTGACAGTTCCATGGCAGGAGTTAATTTGGGTTCCAGATTGTCACAACAAACATCAGCAAGATTAGAGAGGAACAGGTGTGCTTCGATGATGTTGACATTCCGGTGGAAACGGCTCGTTTACCATCAACCCTTCAACATGTTGCCCTTGTCAAACAGCGTTGGCAATGTCAGATGACCGGCCATTCAGATGTTCCCTTGCAGGATCCACACGTATGTCACAAACCGCGGCAGCAGCAGATTGGCGTGTTTCCACGCCTATCGATTTGCGAAACGGTTTCGACCCCACGACGGCAGATGGTCAGAAGCGCTGTATGTAGATCATCGCGGATCACGCGCCTTTGTTTTCGTGGCCCCTGAACGCAAGGCGTGGAGTCAAGTGACAAACTTGCAGGATCCCGCAATCTTGGCAGCCAAGCAAGAGAAAGCTTTGCCTATGGTTCTCTTTTTCATGGAGAACCCCGCTGGCAGCAAGATGTGGCGGTTAGCCTAAGTTAGCCTTGTATGGTTCACCTTCTTCGTCAACAAGGTGTTTTCTGGGGCAGTTGCATATGTGCACGTTTGGAGACTCCCATGTTCATCTGGTTTCCTGACTTCCACACCTTGGAATTTGCCGCATTGGCGGTGTGTAGTCCACCAAATCATGAAGAACAGCTGATTTCACTACCTGTGTCGTCGCCGCCCGTGAACTTATGGGCATGGTCGATGTTTTGCCAACGGGTACGGAATACTGTTTGGACACACAACCTGCGCTCAACTAGTTCTGACCCTGCGTTTCAACCATTGTGTTCTGTATTCTGGTACATCTGGCAGGAAAGTTTGCGCAGATTACACCTGGCAAACCTTGCAGTATCCAAGTGGTCTTTCATGCAGCTTCTTCATGGTACCATTCCGCTCTTGGTGAGCTTCCGCCAGATGTGGTGAAGGCGCCCGCTGATGATGGTAATAATGGCAATGCTTTTGAGCTTGCGGGTGCTTAGGATGGGAAGCTCCCGCATGCAGCGTGGTTTGTCACAGCAGCGCAGTCGCACGCGCCCCAGCATGAGCAGACAAGGGGCCGAAAACAAGTTCCGAGGGTCGTGCCTGGCAGGTGCGAAGCCCCTGCAACACAGCTGCCAAGGCGTGGCACGGGCCCGGAAGCAAGGAACGGCAGCGCTGCAAGCGCAGTGGCACGGCGTGCAAACAGGGGCCAAAAAGACTCAAAGAAGGGTTGGGAAGCCCAGTCAGAAAGCTTCGGCGCCCCAGGTGCCGCGTCGGCGGGGAAGCCAAGAAGCAAATATAACTAAATTACAGCACACGCACATATATATATATGTATAAATATATATTGTTTCATTGCATTGCATTGCATTGCAGTGCATTGCGTTGCGTCGCATTGCGCTACAATGCGTTGCGTGACACCGCGTTGTGAATCTTTTCATGACAGCGCATTACAGTACAACGCGTGGCAACACATCACATTTCATATCATTTCATTTTGTTCCACCCACACACATATATATATATATATATCTATATGTATCCATGCCTGTACATACAGACAGACAGACAGACATACATACATGCATGCACGCGTACATACATACATAGCAAAGAAACACACTCGACTTGTTCTTGACGCACACACCCTCTTGGCGTCGGCCCCTTTTTTGGTTGCCCCCCCCCCCCCCTCCCCTCCCTCCCCTCCCTTCGCTCCCCTTGGCCTCCTGCCAGCTGTGGGTGGAGAAGAAGGAGCAGTTGTTGCGCATCAAGGGCCTGAACCGCAAGCTAAAGGTCGACAACGCCTTGGTGCAGCAAAGGACCAAGGCGCATGCGCGCATGGGAAGAAGAGGCAAGTTGTTACCAAGGGCACGGAACATGGGATTCTCAAGGCATGCCCGACAAGAAGTGAGGCGCGTCGACCCTTTGTTTGGCTGGTAACTCTGAAAGGGGGACCTTGGGACCACCATCGCCACACCGCCACACCACCACCGCCACCACCACCACCACCACCACCACCACCACCACCGCCGCCGCCGCCGCCGCCGCCGCCGCCGCCGCCGCCGCCGCCGCCGCCTGCCAGCAGCAGCAGCAGCAGCAGCAGCAGCAGCAGCAGCAGCAGCAGCAGCAGCAGCAGCAGCAGCAGCAGCAGCAGCAGCAGCAGCAGCAGCAGCAACAGCAACAGCAACAGCAACAGCAACAGCAACAGCAACAGCAACAGCAACAGCAACAGCAACAGCAACAGCAACAGCAACAGCAACAGCAACAGCAACAGCAACAGCAACAGCAACAGCAACAGCAACAGCAACAGCCGCCACAACAACGCGAAGTTCGCAGCCTTTGACTTTCGGAAGAGGCTCAACATGTTGGACGGACGTGAAGCCACTTGGTGACCCCTAAGCCTCAAGGGTTTGCAAAACATCCTTTTTTAAGACCGTCTCAAAGTGTAAGCAGAGGAAAAGGCCTTCTCCCTCTGCATTTTGTTGGGGCCCTTTGTTCCACCTGGTGCGGGTCCCTTTTTCTGCGCGTCTTTCCTTTGGGGGGGGTACTCCAAGCCCCAAAGGAAATACCTGACTGAGGGGTGCCGAAGACCATGGTCCTCAATACTTGGACTCTCTGGTTCCATGTTCGTGGACAGGAGGCGAACGCAAAAAAAATTCCGAGACATACACCCGACTGGGCTTTCGGACATTGCCAGGTGAGCCACCTCCTTTTTCAGTCGACGCTGGTGACCCGGCCGTTCTTTGGTACCATTTTTGATCTATGTGGGTGTGGCTCAAAATTAAACAGGAGGGGCAAACCGCTGGTTTTGGTCCATGTTTCCACTTACCAGGGCAACCCATTTTGGTACCGGGTTTTTGAGCCACAGCCATGTACCTCGGTTTTTGATTGGAGCCGGTTCGCGGATGACGTTTTGTTTCTGGGATTTGGTTTGTTCTGCACCGGGCTTCCTTTGAAGCTCAAGCCACTCACTGGGCGGCTCTCAGCTTTTGTTCCCTGTCACTCCGCTGAGATCAGCCCGGAGGGGTACCTGCCCCAGGGTGACAAGATCATCTCAGTGCGCTTCAGCCCGGACTTCTCCGGCACCCCCTTCTTTGCGGACGAGCGCCTTGGAAGAAAAACAGGATCTGAGTAGGTGTGTGGCAAAGCACGGAATCCCAACATGCAGTGGGTTCCTTTCGGGTTTTCCTTTTGGCCAGCCCCAAAAATGGGTGCGCGCAAGCAAGGTCATGATTGAAATCTGGTGTATGCAAAATTGACTCCGCCCAAAAACGAGGTGTCCAGTTTTGTTCTTCCAAACTTTGGGTCACTCGCCACATCTGTCTCCCGCTCTTTTTGGGAATGCGCCTCAACAGGGAGACCTCCAAACTGGCGCTTTGGTTCTTTTGTCACTTTTTTCAGCCAAGGTGAACAGGACAGCCTCAAAAAGCACACCAAATCGCAAACACAAAAGCACCAGCACACAAAACCCACACACAAAAACAACACCAAGTCGCAAACACAAAGCACCAGCACAAAATTCCACACAGATAGGCACATCAACTACATCAATCCACCGGTGGACCCAGCCTTTTTCCGCGGGACATGACGAGAGACTCGTTTTGGTCGGCGAGGGAGACCGTGGACTTTGAACCCATCAACACCTCGAAGTTCAGCGCTCCGGCGAAACCGCGATGGCCGGGGGCCGGGTCGATATAAGAAATGGGCAGTCGGTTGGACTGGCGATGAAGCCTGAGAAGGTTGGAGCAATCCCAGCACGTCAGGTGCGGCAAGAGGCCCTGCTTCTTTGTTGTCATGCGTTTTTCAGGTTTTGTTTTTCCCCCCAAGATTGAGTTAACAGATACCTGGTTTTGATTGCCCCAAGTCGGTTTGCCAGCAATTTCGTGCAGAGTGCTGAACAATGCCTGGTTTTGATAATCCACATGCACCCGACATTTTGGTTTGTCATGTACTCGAGTGCTGAACAACTTCCAGTTTGATTCATCCCCCCAAGTGCTCGAACAATGCCTTTTGATTATCCACATTCATCCCAATTTTGGGGTTTGTCATGGGGATTTGGCTCAAGTGCTGAACCATTTCCAGTTTGATTCATCCGCCCAAGGTAAGGTGCTCGTCTTCCGCCTTTGGGTTGGTTCGTCTCCCGGGTGCGGTGAAAAACTGCAGGCAACCTGGGGCCCCTGGACGACGTGCTGATCGGCGGCGGCCTGGTGGACAACTTCGCCTTCATGGCCACGGAGGACTGCGGCCTGTCGCCACAGGTGTCCTTTTTAGGTTAGTTTGGCTGAAAATAGATGGTTTCGCTGGTTTGGAGGGGTTTTATTCCTTTTACCAGGGAAACCCACCTTTTTTCCGAAAGGCCACCTATGCCTGTCGCGCTTCTTGGGTTTGTGGAATTGATGGACCCCCAAGAGGGGCTAAGGGAAAAAAAACTTGAACCCCTCAAGGCCTTATTAAGCGCTCAGGGATAGCCCCCCCCCCCATACCTTTTCTTGGAGGTCCGTGACTAATCCCCCAAAATGGCGGGCTTGAAGCCTTTCTCCCAAAATGTGCCCGCCCAACAAATCGTATACTCAACAAAAGACACGCTCAGAATGGGTATGTTGCAACATTGCCTCGAACATGGTCCCCGAACTGCCCCTAAAACAGTTGACCCACAATGGCACCCAGTTGAATGCAAAAGGCCTCTCCCGGAAGTGGCAGTTTCACGTCTGGGGCATGAAAAGCCTCCAGGAAGAGTATTCAGAATGTATGGGTTCAACTTAAAGCTGGGAAACCATGCAACTTTTCTGGGATCCGTCTTTCATTGAACACAACTGGCAGTTCAATGCACGAGGTCAATGAGCAGCTTGGAGGTCAAAGCACAGGTGCAATGAACAGCAGGGATTTCAATGGACAACTGGGGAATGAAGAGCTGCGGGTCAGCCATGAAGAAGAACCAAGAAGAAATGCCTCCCGAGCACCTTGTGTCACGCCCCCCGAACAGGGCTCAAAGTTTCGCGTGTATCTGTTGCCAGACAACAGCTTCCGAGCGCGCAGCTGTTGCTTGGTGGTTCCCAGCCATTCGGTTCCTTAGCTTTTTAGCTTTTTAGCTTTTTAGCTTCTTAGCTTTTTAGCTTTTAGCTTTTTTAGCAGTTTAACTTTTTAGTGTTTAGTCTTGATTTCCATTTCACCCACAAAAAGTTAGTCACTTGCAGCGGAAAGCAGGGGATCTGAAAACGGACAGCCCAGGTTGTTTTCTTGTGACCTTCGGTGACCGTCTTCCGTCACCGGTGAGCACCATAATTTGGACGTCCGTCTGCGATATTCAAAGTTGGTTCTTGTTTTGCTAGACAGCCGAACAGGGGTTTTTGGTTCCTCTACCTTTTAACCCGCAGAGGCTTTTTCTTCCAACAGCCAGCAATACTACCAGGAGGAACGACAGACACCAATCCCGCAGGAGCCGAGGAAGATGCCGGAGACGGTTCCGCACAAGTTCCTGGCGGGGCGGGGTTGGGGGTTGGGTTTTGGGGTCTGCTTTGCTGGTGGCACCTTGGAAGGATTTCTGGGTAGAGGATGCACCCATGCAGAGATGCTTTGTGTGCCTGGGCTTCATGCTCTTGGGAGGCGGTTTTAAGCGGACCGACGCCGCGAGCCGTTTCTATGCGCTTGGCCCGACTTTTTGGGTCTCCTCGAATGTCTTCCAACCGAAGTGAGTGTGCAAGGAGGTGATATAGGCGACTTGACCCCAAAAAGCGAGACGGCCTCTAGGCTAGGCAGCCAAGGAATTGTCAAGTGCTGGTGAGTCTGGGAGTCCATGGTGGTTTTCTGGAAAAGCGCGCGGGAAGCGCACTGCGCAGTTGTACGTTCTGAACTGGGTCCAAAGTGGCCGAGATTTGCTAGTTGCTCTTTCTCATTGTTTGTTGGATCCGGTTTGCCTTCAAACCATCATGCTCGAAAAAGGATGAGAAGATGTCACTTGGCACCCGGGAAATCCGTTGGAATTATCCATAAGTCCAAAAGTCAGTCTTAAGATGAGGGGATCACCCAAACTGGTTGACTTCCTTTCGTTTTTTTTCTCCCGGCTTTTGGGGTGGTTCCCCCCACCGTCCCAAAACGGGGCCGCCGGCGGACCTTGCCGTGTTTGCGTTTGGTTGGCGCCCCCCGGGATGAACGCAACCGGGGTACACCGAAGCCACCCGCTAGAAATTTTCAGGGCCGCTCGAAGCTGATCGAGACGCCGGTGACATTGCAGCAGGCGAGACGCCAATTTGGTTTGGGGGGGCGGGGGGGGGGGTTGGGGGTTTGGGGGGGTTTGGGTGGTTGGTTGGGGGGTTTGGGTTGGGGGGTTGGGATTGGGGGGGGGGGGTTGGGGGGTTGGGGGTTTGGGTTGGGGGGTCTACCTTTCTTTGGCGCATTTTGCCAAGGGATGTTCGGACTGGATAACTTTTTGATCCGACGAAGGGGTTTTCCGAATTAGACCACTGAAAGTTAAGCTTTTAGCAGGGGAGCAGAAAGCAACCGAGCTTTCTTGCCCTCTGATCACCTAAAGGTCTGCCTGCACTTGCCCAAGAAAAAAACTACCCTTTTGGTCTGAACTTGCTATTGCAATAAGTAGGGAATGAAGATTGGAATGAGCTGGTTTGGGATTCCGGGATAAAAGACGCCATAGGATGCACAGTTTATAGGGGTCATTCGCACATTCCAGACGGAGCAACAGCAAGTAACTCTTGGAGCAGGTTCCATGAGATGCACATCTAGCTGCAAATGGCCGCTTCAGCGGCGCGGCTCCGGGGTTTACCTTTCCTTGCCGATTGGTCTCCCTTTAAGCCAATCCAACAATGCTACCCTCTTAAAATGATACACCCATTTGAGATCTACTCAAAGACGGACACCCGATTTCATCAACAAAGGGTTGATTCAACCCTTCGCATTGCCAATCACTGACGAGGAGTGAAGCTTCAGTGGCTACGTATCTGTCAAAGCAGGGGTACCCCAAAATCCTGGGGTTCTAGGCAAGATACTACAGAGTCCAAAGCCGGTTTTGGTTGCGAACGTTCTCCCCGATACACCCTGCATACTAGTGGGGGGGGGGGGGCAAGGTTGAAGGACCTCATTTGACCTACTTGTGTTTGCTTAGTTGACAAATAAACCTCTGGCTGAGACATACGGAGTGATTAGGATCTCTTTTTTTGGTGGGCCCAAGGTGTGGAGTTGTTGTCTCTGGATGGTTGTCTACCCTTGTGGCGATCGGGGCTTGGGAGAGCATCTCTGCTTTGTTTCGCCGGAGTTCCTTGTTTGTTTCGAGCTTGGGCGCTTCCAGTTTGGTTATTGACTGCGGGCTGACCGCCCTTGCCACAAAGAAGTTTGAAGTTGAAGATCCAGTTGCCCAATGGGTGAGGCGTTGTCTTTGCACCATGGTCAGCAAGCAACGGAGGTCGTTTTCCGTCCCTGCATCATTTTTGTTGCGCAAACTCCGATCCAAAAGCAATATCGTTGGTTTCAGGCTATGTGCCCCTAAGTGGGCTTTCTTGGGGCGTCGAAAGGGGGGGTGGGAAGCCAAAAGTCCCAATGTGCTGCTCCGGAATGCAAGGGTGTCTTTTAAAAGGAGATTGCTCAACGAAGCTTTTGGTGCAATCCTGGGTCAAATTTACTTGAATGGCTCAAGCATTTAGTGGGCTGGATGGTGAAACTTGGCCACCAGCCCCTGTCCCATAGGCGTGACAGTTACCAAAGTCCGGCAGTGCGGAGGGGCAGAAGTTTCACAGAGAACAACTACCCTCCCGTCCACTAACACTCAGCTCCCCCTAGCAAATTTGTTAGTCCATTGGCTCACTGGTCACGCGGTGCGGAAATGTCTGGCCAGCGAGCCAGTTGGCCGGTGCAGCTCTTCGCCAAGTTGGTCAAGTCCAGTTCGATGGCCATCTTGCCATTGAGCTTGTTCGCTAGCTGGTTACTTCAGCTAGCAAGCTAGGGGATTTCGCCAGTGAGCTCCACTTGACTCGTCAGCTTCACCCAAAGTCGCTTCCAGCAGCTTCCACCGCCGCGCAGGCGGTGGGCTACAGCTCCGCGGCCTTGGCGCTGTTGGGACTTTACTCTCCGGAGGGTCTCAACAACTTCACCGGGGGTGCCTTCGCGCCCCTCATCGAGCAGGCGGGTTGGGGTGGGGTGGGCTGAGTGGGCAGGGGGGTATTGGGCCTTGGTTTGGAGTTCCTCTTTTTTTTCGGTCCGGGAAAAGGGTAGTTGAGAGACTTACCCCAAATTTGGAGGGCCAACCCCCGCATCACTTGGTTTGTGTGGGTCTTTTCAGGAAAAACTGCCAATGGAGCCGGTTTCTGGGGATCGGCGTTTTTTTTTGGGCAGCCCCACTTTCTGTGACAAAAACTGGGGGGTCTTGGGCCGGCTCCTGCCGCAAATTTGGGCTCTCCTCATGTTTTCCGCCTTGAGCGGGTGAGGATGGTCAGGCCAAAGGTGTGTATCATCCCTGCGAAAGGCTGAGCTGCGACGGGGAAGAGGTGAAAAAGCCGGCGCTGCGGCCGGCTTTTTGTTTTTTTCTTTTTCCTTCTTTCTTGGCCCCGCAAAGTCAGCATCGACCGGATGGTTCTGGGGGGGGGGCTTTGGCTGTGAGGTGGTGAAGTGCGGAAAGTTCTGGTACACATTTGTCAGGTTCCCTTCCGAACGCCCAACAGCCGAGGCGTTTTGCTTCTGTTTATCTCCAACAAGACGGCGCCCAAATCCCTCCCGCTATCTCCCTTCCTTGAGAATGTTAAGCCCGGATGAATAAATCCCTGGTTGATTAGGGAGTGTCCCCTTTCAGTAGGGATTCATCACTTGTGCAGGGAACACCCAGAAAAATGGTTTTTTTCTTCTTTTTTTTTTCTCCTTTTATTTTTTTTGTAAATTAATTTATTATTTGTTATTATTATTATTATTATTATTATCATTATTATTATTAACCTGGGTCAACATCACTCCTTTTTGTCAACCTCCGCCCTCCCGCGCCCTCACGCGGTTCCTGCGCCCTCCTGCGCCTTTGGTTTCGGTTCCAGGACCCCTTCCTCTTCACGGGGCGGCGGCCCTACTGGCCTATCAGCCTCGGCCGCAGCGGGGACGACTCGGTGAAGAACTTCTACCTCGGCGCCGCCTCGCCTACCGGGCGGTCCGAAAAGTTGTCGGTGGCCAGACCCGAGGTTGCCCGTTTTGGGGTCGGGTGAAAAAAGGAAGCCACGGGCAAAAAAAAAGGCCCTTCAGTGTTTTTTGGTGGGTGGCCTAAACAAGACCAGAAATCTGGGTTTGTTTTTCTTCTTTTTTTTCTCTGCTCCCCGAATCAGTCACGAGACACACCCCTTGATTCGTATACGCCGCTGAGTCACGGGCCCCCAGCCATTGTGTCAGCATTTCTCTGGCGCCAAGTACGGCAGAGTGAACAACAGCGGAGCCAGGGGCTTCGGCTTCAAGAAGCATTGCGTCAAGCTCAGTTGCCCAGAGCAAATCAACCCAAAGCAAAGAGCCAACCGCAACTCGAAATGCCCAGAGCGAATCCAGCTTAAAACCTCTTGGTTTGCCAATTTGGGTATGGGTCAAAATTAAACCACCGGGGGGCCCCAGGTTTATGGGTTCCATTTTGGGTACCTGTTTTTGACCCACAGCCATTTTGGTATCCATTTTCCGTCCAAAAGGGTCCACAACTTCCGGGTCCTCGCCCGGGAAATTTGGGGACGCGAGCCCCCCCCCCCCCCACCAGGAGGCCTCGTCTGAGGTCGCCACTCACGGCGCATGAAAGCCGAAACAAACGAAAAAAGAAAAAAGAACCCCCACGCGTTCAGAGATGTTTTCCATTCTCTTTTTTATCGCCTGTTTCTTGGTCCGAAGCGGCACCCTCAGGATTCCCCTCGAAGAAAAAGCGCGGCTGAAAGGGACACCCAGCCCAAAGTTCAACATAGGACTTCTGCAACCCATCAGCATTCAGCTGCCAGGGAACGCAACCAGCCTGGTACTTGGAGTGTGGAAAAACCGTTTGGTTTTTAAGTATGCGTGTTTGGTCAACCGAGTACTTTGTGCCAAGCCCCTTGGTTGGAACCTACAAAAACATGGGTTTTGGGGATGGTGGCTTACTGAACACCATTTGCCGCAACCACAACGCCCCTCTCATCTAGAATCGAGGTTAGCCCCCAAAAATCCGGGCCTGACCAAAACTTCTGCGCCTCAAGCCAAAAATGTGGAACCTCTCACCGGCTCGAAACGCCACCCAAGGACGGGGGCTCTGTGGAGAACGGAGGTCTTCCTGAGGCCATCCGCAGCGGGGCGAAGTGCACCATCGTGCTGCTGAACAACCAGCGGCCCATCGACACCAGCGCCCAGACTGCCGGAAGACGGGCCGATTTTTTTTGGTTCTGCCCGGTGGATCAAAACAAAAAGCACGTTTGCGCCGTTTGCGCACAGGAAAGAAACGGCCCCTCGTACGAAGATTTTGCACGTAACGCAGCGGTGTCAGATTCAAAGAACCACAAAGAATCTAGGGGCAACTTGCCGGTAAGAAACAAGGGAAGCACCTCTCCAAAAACAAGAACCCACAACATGGTGAAATGATCTTTAAACAGAAGAACCAAGTCTCCTGCAATTGAACAAGGAAGCAAAAAGCCAAAGAACCATGTTTTCGGAATGGCCTCTCGTCCATTCCGAGGGAACCGTGTTCCTTCAGACTCAGAACCCTTTTCCCACCCAAACCGACCAACCCCCGAAACCGGAGGCGTGGTGGGCGATTGGTGCAACCCCCCGGCTGCGGTGCTCGCCAACCCGCTGCTGCTGTTGGGCCCCAACGGCATTGAAGGGGACGCGGCGACGCAGCCCGACGTCGAAGAAACAGAAGACGCGAATGGCCGTCTTGTTTTTTCCCCCGTTGTTGTAAAGTGAATCGATTTCGCTACCCATTTGGTTAAGAACTGTTTAAGCCCTGGTTGGCTTGTCACGGGAATCGATTGCACTACGGCACTTGTATTTGTTTCCAGGGGACTTGAGCCTATGGAGGCCGTGTTTTTTTTTTTTGTGGGACGCGCAGGGCGTTTTGTGAGCATAGGCGTCCTTTTTGGTTGGTTTGCTGGTTGAACATAGATGGCGATTCCTGGTTGACCTGGTTGTTTCAGAATATGCCGGGCCATCTATTTTCCCAAAAAGGACACCTATTAGCTTGTAAGGCTTTTCATGTCCCTTTCCGTGAAACACGGAATTGCAGAGGGTAAGCACTTGCCAAGCCAGCAGCTACAAACGCGCTTAGGGGCCGTTTCGCATGGACTGCTGCAGATCACTGTCCATCCGCAGCATCACCATGTATCACTATTTGGGTGTGGCCCGAAAACGGCTTGCTGCCGGTAAATGGACATACTGGAATCTGCGGTCCCCTTCCCATCTTTTCCTTGAGGGCTTCAGGACTCCTTGCATGACGCTCAGCATCCAATTCTGTTGCTTTGGGTTCAAAGTGATTAAATTGAAGGGCTCAGCTGTTTGGTACCTGGGTTACTGGGTAGTGGGAAGGGCGAGGTAAGATAGAGTTGGGGCAGGGAGGCGATGATTTGGGGCCCGAGTAGTAGTTTAAACACGTTGGAGAGACGTATTTGAGGTTTGGCTTCCATGCAGTCGGGTGGCGTTTAACGGGGAAATGTACGGAACCTCCCACTCAAGCATGGAATTGGGAGAGGGGATTCCAAGCCCCGCACTTCGACCTCATTGATGAAGACAAGATAGCGGAACTGGGGTCTCTGGTGTCTCCGCCCAAAAATTGGCTCTGGGGTGGTTTGGGGCAGCATGTAGCGAGGTTCCGGGTTCCGCCGCTGGTGATACTTAGAACACGCATGAGTGCCATGACTCACACCACAGTTCCCGTGCGTGATAAACGGCTTTCCTTGTAGAAAGGGAGCCTGTGCACCGTGCACTTCCATATTTCTTGGTGGGAAGGTGAAGATTCCCTTTGTTGCTGCAGCTGCTTTTGTTGCTGTTGTTGTTTATGTTGCTGTTTTTGCAGCAGCAGCAGCAGCAGCAGCAGCAGCAGCAGCAGCAGCAGCAGCAGCAGCAGCAGCAGCAGCAGCAGCAGCAGCAGCAGCAGCAGCAGCAGCAGCAGCAGCAGCAGCAGTGGCAGCAGCAGCAGCAGCAGCAGCAGCAGCAGCAGCAGCAGCAGCAGCAGCAGCAGCAGCAGCAGCAGCAGAAGCAGCAACAGCAGCAGCAGCAGCAGCAGCAGCAGCAGCAGCAGCAGCAGCAGCAGCAGCAGCCGCGGCAGCAGCGGCCGGCAGCAGCGGCAACAACAGAAACAGCAGGAGAAGCATAAACAGAAATACAAACACACGCAAACAGCAATCGAGAAGCAAGCGAGCAAACAAACAAACAATCAATCAATCATTCAATCAAGCAAACAGACAGACGGCCGGGCAGACAGACAGACAGGCAGGCAGGCAGGCAGACAGAGACAGGCGGACAAACAGACAGACAGCCAAGCCAACCAAACCAAACCAAACCACACCAAACCAAACGAAAGAAGCAACGCAAAGCAAACCAAACCAAACCACACAAAACCAAAGCAAACCAAACCACACAAAGCCAAACCAAACCAAACCAACAAGCCAACAAATCAGCAAACCAACCAACCAACCAACCAACCAACCAAGCAACCAAGCAACCAACCAACCAACCAACCAACCAACCAACCAACCAACCAACCAACCAACCAACCAACCAACCCACCAACCCAACCCAACCCAACCAAACCAAACCAAACCAAACCAAACCAAACCCAACCCAACCAACCAACCAACCAAGCAAGCAAGCAAGCAACCAACCAACCAACCAACCAACCAACCAACCAACCAAACAAGTAAGCAATCAAGCAAGCAAATAAACAACCAACCAAAAAAAGCAAAACACAAAACACACAAGCGCACGCAAGCAAGCAAGCAATCAAACAAGCAAGCACGCGCACGCAAGCAAACGAGCAAGCAAGCAACACAACAACCATCACATAATATGATATCATGCATAAAGGTTTGGCATACTTATTGCAAAACACAACATACTATTGTAGTACAATATCGGACAGCAACACATACAGTTTAGTATGGTATACTATCACAAGATAGAGTATAATGGGAATATATTGTAGTATCATACCTTAAATGTAGTAGTGGTATAATGATACCATGTCATACAATTTATACAATATCATAGAACAATGATATGATGGATTTCTAAAGACATATCTACACAGGCATATATGCCTGTACAATGTTGTTGTATAGTAATATATATATATATATACATATACTACGATATGATATATGATATGATATATGATGTGATATATGATGGCCATGAGCGGTGGCGACTTTCGATCGCACAAAGGTACGACTACTTTGGAATCGCCCTGCCGATTCCAAACATCCTGTACCTGGCCGGCTTTGATTATTCGCGCCTGGCTGCATGGATTCGCCGAATTTGCGTCCTTTGGGTTACATGAACATAGCTGGCCGTTTTTTCGGAGCCTGCCGGAGCAGAATGGGGGGTTTCCTCGAACAGTCATGGGGGTTCCCTCGAAAACGGGGTGCGCTCTGCTGTTGATCTCGAAGTCCTTGGTCGACATTGCATACCAATGCTTCCCATGAACGGCATCCCCATGACTGCTTGATCACTTTAAACAAGGGATTCCCTTTGCTGTAAAAAATCTTGCCGTAAATCCTGGCCCATTCCGAAAGCATGTCTCGTAGCCACCAGATCTTATCCACCCCATCCGGTTTTATGGTGTTTCCAGACCCCCCCCCGGTTTGGTACAGACCTCGAGGTTTGGTACAGACCTCCAAGGTTTGGTGCAGGAATTGTTTGGAATGGCAAGCCATTGGATTCACTCCATGCGGTTGGAATCCCCACCCAGCCTTTGGTTTCCCCCAAAAGCAACAGCCACCTAGCATAGATTTGAGCCCGTCAACACATGGGTGTGTAAGTTTTTGAGGGTACCGTTTTGTTGGTTGGCTTAAAAGGAGACCAAAAGGAACACCTACAAAAAGACACCCAAAACACCTTGGCCAGCTGCTCCCTTCAAGGGGTGGATGGCTTTTGGATGTATGCTTTACGAACCAAGGAGCAATCATGATCTCCATTTCCCATGACTACTTTTCCCAATGCACAGGTTGGTTGTGTTTGACTTTGGTAGCCAGGCCAAGAGTTTTGGAGAAAAACCATTTGTGCCCAGCCGTATCTTCTTGTTCCTAGCTGATTTTTGAGACCCTTTTGGGTGTCAGCTCCAAGGAACAACCACATCTTCGCGACCAGCGACATCTTCCCCGTCATGTGCGAGGCGGTGAACCTGCGCACGGCTGGCAAGCCCGCGGTGGTCTACAAAAAGCGACTCGGGGAATGGGAGAGGGGGGAAGGGTGAGAGGGTGGGGTAACTTTGTTGCTTTTTGCCAAGGGATGTTAGGACTTTCACTTTTAGCCAACGAATGGGTTTTCCATTAAACCACTGAAAGTTAAACTTTTAGCAGGGGAGCAGAAAGCAAACCGAGGTAGGGTGGGGCCAGAGGGCGGGGCTGGGGAGTGGCCACGAAACGAAGCACCAAAGGGAAGACCAAAATGAAACGGCCGAGCCTGAGTAAGGTTAGTAAGGGACGATCCCAGCCATAAATAGTTGCGGACGCCTTTGTATTTCATTACATGGTTCTGGGTAGACCGCTCTACTACCGGGTTTTGATTATGACACACCTGCGGGTGTCTCTTGCTTTGGGTTTCTTCAAAAGGAACCCAAAGCCTGTAGAATCCCGACCAATTTGTGGGGGCGCTGGACGACCTCTCCTTGTGTTGCGCATTTTCTTTCTGAATTGACACCTTCCTTGTGGGTTTGGAGGGTTTGAACTACACAGCCCAAACCCAACGCCACGCCCCCAAAGGCGCTCCACGCAAGGCCTAAGAGAACCCATTCCCAGGTCATTTGGGGGATTCCGCACGGTTTTCTGTTAGGCATGATTTGGGGCGCATATGTATTTGTATTTACCTTTGAGATCAAAGACGGTTCAACACCGAAAGTTTTAACGGCCTTCCCTGCCATCAGGGTCCATTGAATCCATTGCCATGTGTTTCTTTTTCTGGCTGGGAGGGGGGGGGCGGGGGGCGGGGCGGGGTGAATTAGTGTGTATCGCCAAATTTAGGTCTCTGCTTTGCTTTGACTACTTTGACCATCACGTTTGTAACCATTGCCCGGCGATCCTCATTTGTTTACAGCTATGCAACTTTGTTGGACTGTTGATGTTTGAAGCGAACTTTAAAGTGTAAGTGTGGGTTTGGAGGCATCCCAAACAGGTCCAGTCCAACATGCTTTCGGCCAAATGGCTGTGGGTCAAAAATGGGTTTCCATTTTGGAACCCGAGTAAAAGGAGCCAAGGACTGAAACCTGCGGTCCGATTCCTGGTGCTTTGATTTTGACCCATACCCAAATCTTTCCCACTAAAATAGACTAAAATGGGCGGTGAATTCACCTACCCCAAAATGCAACCACAGCCCCATGTTTCTTTCTCGCACGTTTTTGGGGATGTCAGGCTTACCACCATCGAGAACACGCACTGGGGCATCGAGGCGGGGAAGAAGGTGGGAGTCACTTTCGTCTTCACCGAAGTCACCCAGGACTCGGAGATGGAGAATGGCGACCTGGGAATTTACAATCAGGGCTCCTTAAAGGAAATTCATTTTGCAACCATTTGAAACATGTTGCTTTTTCCACCAAAATAAAGGGAAACCGCCATTTACAAGGCAATGTTCAGGTGTATAAGATAAGAAGCCCTGTTGGTGGTTCCCAGCCATGCCCTAAGCTTTTTTTGGCCTTTTGGTTGGTTTAGCGGTTGCATTTCCATTTTTCACCCACCAAAAGTTAGACCAACTTTTAGCAGGGGGATCTGAAAACGGAGCAGCCCATATACATATATGTACATCTATTCACATGTCTCCAGATCCGGAAAAATCCGTTAACGCCGCCCGAGAAAGCGCCGAGAGTTCCCGCAGGACTGGCTGGACGAGCTGCCGGAGGAGACCAGCGCGGCCATCGCGGCCGGCACCTTCGACACCACGGGCAACGTGGACGCGGTCTTCAGCCCTTGGCCCTTCTCCTTCCCCCACCTCAGCACCAACCAGCCCCAGGCGAGAGCGCGAGCGCAAGCGGGAAAGCGGGAAAGCGGGAGAGCAACAGAGCGGGAGGGCAAGCTGGGAAGCTGGAGGAGGAAGTTTGGGGGGGATTTGAGGTGGGGATGAGTTGTGTTCTTTTTTTTCTTCCCCCGACAAGGCGTCAATCATAGTTGGCAATCCCAAGAACGAGTTGGCAATCCCCTCCTCGGACCCAGAGTCCGTGCCTGCTCAGTTTTTTTTTTTCTCCAAGGGCCACAGGCGCAAAGAATGACAATGTGCCACAAGCCCAAGGGCCTATGGCGCAGAGGCGCTCCAACTCGTCCAGCTTGGACCCAGGGAGGTGCCCATTTTCCCCCGCGTTGCAATGAGGGTGATGGGCGTTTCATGATTCACAGCTTGCTGTATGGCCTGTCTCATGGCACGTTGGCTCTCTCAATGCGATTTTTTTTGGCTCAGGTAAACCGCGAAACACCCACGTGATGTTTGGACAGGTTTCGCCCGCGGTCAAGTCACTTTTTGCACGAAATCCTACGGGCAATTGAGACACACCCGGCATTGGAGTGGGTGTTTGGTGGCTGATTTCCAGCATACGTTGGTTTTATAAGCAATAATCTATGACCATGGCTAACACATGTCCGCCGGTAAGCAGATGTATTTAGGTAATAAGTTGTAAGCATGGCAAACACATGTCCACCACCACCTGTCCCGCTCACAGCCCTGTTAGATTGCGGCGAGCGGTTTGGATGCGGCTTTTGTGGACGCACCCTGTAGAATGCTAAAACAGTACTAAATAAAACACCGCCAGGGGGAAACCTTTGTTGGGGTCTTGGTTGCAAAATCCATTTCGCACCACAAAATGAGTCCATGGTGGTTGAAAGAATGAGGAGTGGCATGAACGGGAATAGGCTGGACTGGGGCTGGTGAAGTGGGGTGCGCTGGAGTGAACTGGGTTGAAACCACAACGTTTGTTGCTGGGTTTCTAAACGGTGGTGCGACATGGATGTCGCACCCATCCACAGGATGGGCGTCCATCCGCCGGATGTGTTCAGCTTCGCCCGTCCGAACGCTTCGCGAGCGCAGGGCGAGAATGCGGAGTTCGTGTCCATGAGCAATCAGCAGGCCAACTTGTACTCCTCGTTGACCGAGTACACGCTGAGGGTCAACGAGGACAAGGCGTCGGATGGGAGTCGGTGTGGATGGATCGGATGGATCAGATGGATGGATGAGGGGTGATTTCTCTCTTTTTTCCGTGGAGGCTTGCATTTTGTATGTTTTTGACTCCCAAGTGCAGGGCTCTTTGGGTCCGGAAAACAGCAAAGCCTCGATTCGTGAAGCATGGTCAAGGGTGATTGGTTTTGTGTCAACATAGCCTCCCCCTGCAAAAAAAACGACAAAGGTTTCCCTTGGTTTTCTTTGACACCAAGATCAGTTTCCATTCGCTTTCTTGAAGGGGCGTTCTAATCTTTGTGGATAATATGTTGTGGTAGCTTGGTGGATGGAGGGGTCCAAACACATTTCTCTTCTCAACCCGAATCAACTCTTGGATTTCCTCTGGGTGGGCTGATGCTTAAGGGGGACATAGAGGGATGTGGATTCTTCGGCAAGCAATTTGGTAATCCTTTTGGCCAGTGATAACGAGCTCACCGATTGGGGTGGAACCAGCAAAGATCCACGAAGGAGCCCTTTTTGCTTAATCGAACTAGAGCTTGCCCGGATGTTTACTCACTCACTCAAGTTCGCACGGGGCCTCTGTGGGCGCAGCTGATTTATTGGGGGGGGGGGATCAGGCCCAAAAACGGCCACAGCAACAATTGCGGAAGCCACTTGTTGTCGTTTTGAACCACCCCGACCAGGTGCCCCGATCCTTGACCACTGCCGATGCTTGTTGTAAAGTTGGACACCTATGGGGCTCATTTCGCACCGATAGCGCCCCAGGTCAGAGGACGGTTTTACCGACTGGCGGCTTCATGGGCCCGGGTAAATCTAAACCTGAAGGTTCTAGGATATGGCCCCAAGGTTCTGCTTCAGTCTGGGTCCTTCTACCAGAAAGCACTTAGAGGCAAAGGGCCAGCTCCAGAATATCCCTCCAACACATGGGATTTTTGTCTGCCCATAGTGTTAGCTGGAAGCGGCTGGTATTTGTTTCAGTTGTGTGTTAAAGAAGCTTTTTTCCGGTGGCAGGTGTCGGTTCGTTTTTGTCGACCCGGGCTTGCTTCTGAAACTGTTGCGGCCCCTGGAAGCTCGAACCCGCATGGGCATGGGCGCTTGGTCAGAAGACCCTTTGCCTCAGGGCTGCAGGCCTTGCTAGTTTGCCCTCTTTCCAAGAATCACGGAAGTGGACCGAGGGGTTCCCCAAAAGGAAGGGAAGATCGTCTTTCAAAACCCTCCTGTCAGCTTCCATGGTTGTGTGAGGGTACATGTTAGCTTGAAATCGTTGAGACACACCCAGGTTTTGGTCTTTTCACTGCCTGAAACCAGCCGCTCGCGCAGGTGCGCCAGTGCATGGGCCTCGATGATGATGATGGGTATTATTGAGCGGAAACGGACCAAGCCGCGCTTGCGACTGGCCTCGCAAGGGCCGATTTAGAGTTTGCTTCGACCGGCCGAGGGGAAGTCACGCTTGGCCTGCGCCTGCGATTTGGGAGGGAACCCATAAGTGGCTTCCCTTCAACTCCAAAACACCGGCATGCCCATTTCTCACGTCCGCTTCAATTGCCTTTAGACTCGGCATGTTTGTTCCGCCGAAGGGCGGAGAAGATCTCTTGATGGTTGGGCTGCACTGCCCGCCTGTTGGACTAGGTCAGTTGAGTAGCCGACTAGACCGCCTGCTGTGGTTCCGCGGAGGCCCGGCGGACCTCCGATCAAAATTGTCGGAGCTTCGCGCGGCGATCGCGCGAGCCCGCGATCGCGCGGCAGGCAGGGATATTTTGTGAACTTCTTTTGAGAAAAGGACCGGCTGCGGCGCGTGCACAGGATATCATATCTCTATACGTGGTTGTTGTTGGGAAGCATTTTACATTTTTGCTTATTGTGGTTCAGTGGTTGAAATCCAAATCCACTTCGCTGCCTAAAATTTGTTTGAACTTTTGCTGCCCTAAACCAACATCAACCAAGTCTCACTTGCTTTTGCCATATCTGAAGCTCCCGGCGTTCAGAAGGGCCACTGAGGGGCTCTTTGAAGGGCACGGAGCTCTCCGCTGTCCAAGCGCTTCTCTCTGGAGGCTCCCAACAGGGGCGGGGCCCCGTTCCGATCCCGGTGGCGAAAGGGGGAAGGGGCTCCAAGGGAGAGACTTGAGCTCCTTGGAGAGGCCGTCCCCGTGTTCAGCCTTTCTTGGCTTCCGGCCATGCGGTTCCTGAGCTTCTTAGGTTTTTAGTTGTTGGTGGGGATTTCCATTTAACCCACAAAAAATTAAACCTTCGCGGCTCCAAAGGGTCCCTGCCCTGAAACGGATGCACCGCGTTCTCATCGCCTCAAAAAGAAAGGCAGACAACAACAAACATGCAATGCCTGTGTTGGGGCACCCTTTGAGAACCAAAGGAGATCATTCCCTCTTTGTTTGGGGGCAAGGGTCCAAGAAACCTCACGAAACCAGTCCGGTGGAGATCTTGAACATAGAGCCCCAAACGGCGTGCATTCTCGTATTCCTTGAAGTAGCAGCTTCTTTGGTTTCCATGTTAATCCCATGGACAAGTGGAGGTTTCTGGCATCACTTCCTGCGCCAAGAAATGTTAAAGTGGTCACGGTGGGACTCCTCTGCTTTGGCTTCCACAGCCATGTTAATGTCAATTTCGGATTAATACACCCTGGTTGATTAATAGGGGGGTGTCCCCTTTTAGTGGGGATTCATCACTTTTGGAGGGAACACCCCCTAATAATGGGACGGGTTGATGGTCAACCCACTTCAGGTAAGTAGGGGAAAAAGACGAGGGTGACATCTGTGTCTGTCTCCACCATCGTTATAACCTACTTGCCCGAGTCTTGACCATCCAAGTAAGGGAGTGGTTGGTTTGCAGGGGTTCACCCACCATTTTGCCTTTTTTTTGATTTCTCCCAAGCGGGGGCCGCGTCCGACGGGGGGGGGGGCTGTTTTGTTTTTTTGGCCAACCGGGGGGGGGGGGGGGCGCGTCCGACGCCTGGAAAGAACGCCCCGCACGCCGCGGCGCCCGTTGGCCGCTCCGAGGTGGCCTTCAGCCCCAAGGAGCCCTCGCTGCTGGCCACGGCCTCCTCTGACAGGACGCACGCGAAGCGCCGCCGGGCCGACCCGGGCGATCCGGCGGGGTCGGGGCGGGGTGCTTGCGTTTGCGCTTTTTGGCTTCCTTTTTTTTGTTTCTTTTTTCCTTTTTTTTTTTTGGGGGGGGGGTGGAAGTTGGGCTTTCTGTTGGTTTTTTGGTGGGTTGTGATTTTTGGTGTGGGCGTTGCGATTGAAACGGCGGAACATGGATGATAGAAAGGAGGAAACAAGACAGGACAGGTCTTTTTGTCTTGTTTGGACGTTGAGAGTCAAGCTTTCGAACACGTTTTTTGTTTTCTCCTTTTGTTTGGGTTTGCCTTATGCCAATGTCTATTCTTGTTGTTCGTATTGCTGCATTTCATGTTGTTTCTTGTGGTCGGTCTTTTGTCTCTTGCCGCTGTGTTCGTTTCTTGCCCATTGCTTTGGCTCAGGTTCGTTTCGTGACGTTGTGACCCCCCCTTCCGCCCATCCGTCTGCTTTTCCTCTGTCTCTGCGGCGCTTTGCCAAAATGCAAAAACGACAGGGGCTTCTGACAATGGGATGGTTTTTCTTTCGGTTTCCAAAATAGGACCGGTACAATGCAACAAGAGGGGCGAGGCTCAAGGAAAGTTTCCTCTTTGGTGGGTAAGAACAAGAGGTCTTTTTTTGGGCCAATGGACAATTTTTTGTGTGCTCAGAATGCCTTGAACCAGGGTGTCCCTTCAAATCCAAAACACCAACGGCTTCCCATGCGGATTTGGTCTCCATGCGGATTTGGTAATCTTTTTTGGATTCCCCCCCCCCCCGATCGCCGCTGGCAGGTGCGTTTTGTTTCTTGTGCGAAGTCCAAGAGAAGTTGACGGCCTGAGTCTTTTTTTGGGGGGCTCCTTGTGAGCTTTGCACATGTTCTTGGCTCCATGTTCCGGGGGCACTTTTTTTTTGGGGGGGGGGAACTCCATTTTTTGGGGCACATTTTCTCGTTTTTTCGGCGACAGGCTGAAACCCCCGAGGTGACCCAGTGGTGGGGAAGCAGACAGACCACTGTAGGCCCAAGTGGCGAAAAGGGTGAGATCGTCACTGGCCGAGAATCCGTGAGCTCGCAGGACAGTGAAGGTCTGGGACGTTTCCAGCGGCAGGCTGCTGTGGACTCTGCCCCACAAGGCCCGAGCGAAATCGCCGCCGGGACTTAAAATGCCGGTGTTGTTTTTTGGAGAGCGGAAGGCGTTTGTTCTGGCTGGCTGAGTGTTGTCGCTTTTTGCGATTTGCCTTTTTTCTTTTTCCTCGTTGCTTGTTCTGTTTAGATGGTGGGATGCGAGACTCGTCCCATCCACTGAAACAAAGGTCGCCTTTAGACGAAATCCTGCGCCGGTTTGACACGAACACCAGGGCGACTCACCAACATGTATTTTCCCGTATAATTTTAGTCATGCCGTAGATTGTGACTATCGGTCTATCAGAGTGACATCTTCAACATCACTTTCTAAATGGTGGTTTACAGGGAACAAGTCAACATCACTCTCTAAATGAGGGTTTAAAGGGCAACAAGTCCCCGAACGTCAAAATTACTGTAAACGATAGTTTAAAGGGAAACAAGCCCCCTGAAAAGCAATCCATTACCCTCTAAATGTTGATTTAAAAGGGAAGCCAAGCCCCCGAAAGTCAGAATTACTCTCCAAACGATGCTTTCAAGGGAAACACCCAATCCCTAAAAAGATTCTGGTGACACTGCTTCTCCCAGTTGCAGGGGTGTTGGCCCGAGTTCCCGTTCTCGGTATCGCTGTGGGGACGGATTTTGGGGGCCCATCCAGGCAGAGAAGGCGGACGGGTGAGCTAGGTCCCCCAGCAATTGGTGCCCTTTCTCACCGTTTCTTTTTTGGTTGGGAGGGTTTTCGACTACTAAAATCGACGTCCAGAAAGAGAATTCGGGCACCAACTTATTGTAACCTGTCAAATCTGGAGGATCTGGGGTGGGTTTTGCTCGTGTCCGGGCAACGGAACAGGACCACGTCACGGCGGTGGACTGGTCCCACACGGAGCTGCTGCTGGCGACGGGCGGATGGGATCGCAGGCGACGGGGGGAGCTCCTTGGGGAGCTGCGGGTTCGGACGGTTCCTGGATCCCAGACTGGCGGCTTACTTTTGTCCATATAGGGGTTCCCTTCAAAAAGAAAGGGAACCCACCCGATATAAAATCCTAAAGGGCAAATGGTTGGTTACCTACTATAGCGGCAACTAGGATCCACTCAGCAGACCTGTGACTTACTTGCGCTTCCGTTGATTCCAACTTGTTTTTTGGAGGTTTCGTTGTACAAGCAAGCACCGAAGGCGCGCGCGCCATTTTTTTTGGAACAGGACATGATGCGACTGGCAAAGTTGTAGTCACTGCCATTCCCCCCTTGAGCAAGTCCGGGTTGCCCTTTTCCGGCAAATCTCAGGGTCCTTCAGCCAGGTTTCGGCTGTGGCCGATCGGCGAGCGGGAGCTGCGAAGCTGCAAAGCTGGTGGCACCTGTGAACCGCTGGCGCCTTGGAATGGGAACAGACCAGTCCGTTCCATCCCCAAACCCGTTGGACCGTACACCACGCCGCCCCGGAGGGGCAGTTTGCCGATGGGCGCCGATGGGCGAGCGCTGGGTCGAAACGACCTGGCCCGGAAATGGAATCAGGGGAGAGGACCGACCGACTGATCCGCTCGGATTCAGGCGCCCTCCCATGTGGCGCGGCACCCGCAGCTCCTCTGGTCCGTCGCCTTCGCGCCCTCCGTGGGCGTGCGCGTGGCGGCGTGCCACGGGGCGGTGGGGCAGTCCCCCACGGCGGCCCGGCGCGGCCGGGGGCGCGGAGCGGGACCGGGGGCGGGGGGAGCTGGTGCCTCTGGTTCGGCGGTTTTGGCCTGGACCTGGTACCCCTCGTTCGGGGGGGTTCAGGCGGTTTTGGAGTTGGTACTATACCTCTTTGGCGGTTTTGGGCTCTAAAGAGGGAAACCAAGAGACCAGGGGGAAAAAAACAACAACCACTGGTTTGAGGTGTGCAAATCCTTCATGAAGTACAGAAACCTAGCAGTTGAACATCAGACCCCTTGGCTCACCAGCTTATGCGCCAAAGTAGGGGCGGGGGACACCAAATGGATCTTTCGATCTTTCGGAATTCCTATGGGCTCCCCTTTTTTACTTTTCTACTGGACCCACTAACATGGGAGGTTCCCTCTTTCCCCGTTAAAAGAAACAAAAAAAGAAAAAAAGAAAAAAAGGGGTACCGTCCCACCAAAGGCAGGGGCAGGGGTCCTGGAAGGCCATGTTCCTTTTAAAGGCACCCCCGAACGTCAGGTTCCAGCGACTTGGTGGGAGGCTACCGAGCCTCAAGAAAGAAGGAGAAGCACCAGCCCGTTTTACCCGGGCTGTCCTGAGATGGCTAAAGCAGTTTCACTGATGGCTTAAATTCGGACACCCAGCCAAAAAACCGAGAAACAAAAGGCTAAGGAAGGGAGCCACCCGGGGATTTCCCCCCCGCCACGCTTCCCACCCACCAGCTCTCCCAAGACCGCCTTTTCCCGCGTTTTCGTTCCCCCAAGTCCCACAAAAGCACCGCAAAGAACCAGCAACCAAGGTACCAGGGCCAGGCAAAACCGCCGAGACAGAGGCACCGTAACTCTCTAGGGGTTGACTCCTTTTCCATTCTTTTCAACCCTGGTTCTTTCCAGAAGCCGTTTTTTTTTTTTCCCTGGGTTGCCGGAGGTTTTCTAGAAAGAAGGACCTGGAAAGAATGGAAATGGAACCCAAAAAAGCACCACCGACCCAGGTGGTGGTCTACGAGTTGGCCGCCTCGGGCGGTTCGTCGAACGGCGGCCTGGTGCGGTCGCGGCGCCTGGGGCGGCACAAGGACACGCCGCTGGCGCTGGCCTTCTCACCGGATGGTGCCAAGCTGGCGGGGGGGGGGGGGGGAGGTGAGGGGGGGTGGTTTTAGGGGGTTGCAGGGAGGTGGGGGGGGTGATGGAGGTGGAGGGGTTGGGGGAAGGTAGGTTTTGCTGGATGGTTTGGATTGGGGTAGTTTGGCGGGTTTCAGCCGAGTTCGTTTCGAAGCCAATGAGGAAGGTATCTTCTGACGTCACCACCAAACTAAACCACCAATTGAAGGCAAGGTCAAATTTAATGGGGTGGCTTAGGGGGTTGCACGGTGGGAGGGGGGAGGGTTGATGGAGGTGGAGGGGTTGATGGAGGTGGTGGGGGGGAGTCTCCTCGAACAGCCAACTCATTGAAGCATCCACTCTTTGAGAATTCTTGGCAACATCTGCAATCCAACCCAAAAGCTCGTGCTACGTGGAGAATTCAGGATTCGCGGGGGATTTAGACACAATCTGCGTTTCTGGAAGCCCTTTTGGCCGTGCTTCCAGGGCTCCCAACTACCCGTGGCCATGTTGAGTGGACGCTTGGCTCTTTCTGATGTGGCTTTCCTTGGATTGTTGTTTCTCTCTCTCGAAGCCAAAACGGCGGCGACCTGAACTTGTTCATTTGGCCGCCGCTTGGAGTTTGTCCAACCAACCCATGACACTTTCCCTTGGTTTTGCACTCCAAACCCGGTGCATTTCGCCTTGCGGGAGGTCTCCGCGGGCATGGACCGGAAAGTCCTGGTCTATTCGGCGGCCTTCGGCAACGGGGACGACATGCCCCAGGGCGACCCCGACGACGCGGAGGAGCGCCGCTTGGAGCGGTTGGCGGTTGGCGGATGGGGCCGGGGCTCACGCCGCCCTACTTTCTGGTGAATACCTCAGTCTCTATTCATCTTTCCAGGGTGCGTTTGTTGAACAGCCTTTCGGGGGATTTTCGGAGTTTCTTGTTGGAACATGGGAACACAAGAAACACCTCGCCTCTTTCAGAGCTGTTGCGTACAGGCCGCAGACTCATCAAGATGTCTTCTTTTGGCTTCCCGAGCCAGAATGTCCCGAACCGGACCCCACACCCAGGAAGCCTTTGTGCCCATTTCCCCCGCATGCCTTCAAAAACCAGACCCGCCGTCAAGGTGTCTCCTCTTGGTTTCCCGAACCAGACCCATTTCCACCGGACCCCACGGACGGGCCAACTTGCAGCCACGTGTCCTATGCCAAGTTCCATGAAGGCCCCAGCTCGCGGCTCGCACGTGTCGGGTTCCGGTTCGTGGAGCGGTTCGGGTCCGGTTCGCTTCGCGGTTCGCGCTGTGATTCGCGGCATTGAAGTTCTGAGGCCTCCTGTGGCTGCAGGACCTGAGAGACTTGCGGCAGAGCAACAGCACCCAGGCGCCGAACGCCGGGAGGGCGCGAAGCGGGAGGGCGGGAGGGCGCGAGTGGCCACGGCCCCAAGCTGCGCAGCTTCCGGCGAAGCTCGAAGCGCCGGGGGTGGTTTTTTGGTTGACATCAAGGGGTTTTGGGTGGTTTTTTGGTTGACATTAGGGGGTTTTCCACGAAACCCGCAAGAAGTGGTTTACTTTTTGAAGACGGGTCGTTTCAGCAACCGAGTTTTATGGATCAGGGCGTGACGCCTTCTGGATTGGGGGTGATCTTGGGTAGACCTGTTGGGTATCCCAGGTCATAGTTGGAAAACACGAATGCTTGGCTTTTTCTCCAGGGTCGCATTCGCAAAGAAGCGCAGAGAGCTTGATGGTAGCCCAAACCTGTGACTCCCACGTCTCCCAAGTTTACTTTCACTCCACACCAAGAAGCGACAAAACTTGAAGTGGCGAAATACCCTATGGCATGGCTTCAAAGGAGCCTGAAAAAAAAGTTGGGCTCATGCCACTTCGGCAAATAGTTTCAAGGGAGTTCCATGGCTTCCAACGTTAAAGGAGGTTGTCCGACAAAATTGGGGAACTCGAGCAAAGGCAATTGTTTCCCTTCTGGCTTCCCTTTGGGACCACTCCAAAAGGGCTATCCTCAGACAAAAACCACGAGCCGCCCATCTGATTCACAGCAACCACTCGCAGTCCGGAGCCGTGGTAGCAGCGGTCCAAGTGGGACAGGAAACTTCCAACTGCCGAGTCTGATTTTTGGTTTGCAGTACGACTTTGTACACAAACAACATATGTGAACCAAAAGGGTTCTCCTCCCAAAAAGAGTTGTGAATCCACGCCGTTTTTGCCCACAATTCCCAAACAAAAAGAGCTAGCTACCGTTTTTCTGCCTTGGCTCTTGCCCATAATGTATAGTCTCAGGCAAGCCCTAGCCGACTTGGATTGGTGGCTTGGGGACTTTGCCACTCTTCAACCACCACGCCACCAGGCTGATCGCCTGCTTTTGCCAGGCCGCTCAGTTGACGGAGCTGGCGCAGAAGCTGGCGCCGGGGGGGGCTGGATTTGGATACCCCGGCGCCAACTCCAACAGACTTGGACTTCCTGGCAAAGGGACATGGGCTACCTTACTGTGGCAAAGGGACATGACTTTGGATGTTCACTCCACGCCAGGGAAGTAGGTTATAACTCTCTGCAGCATGTGTCCGCCAACTCCGGTGGTCTCGTTTGTAATCAAAGTTTCTCCAAAGGATGTAGTGCCGCGGGCTTCTGTGCGAAAGATGCCATCTGACGTCAGTGCTCACAATGAACCTGGAGCCGTGCGAGGCACCACCCTCAACCTTTTCGTCAATGAGACACCCATCCCGCAAAAGGATTTTTCGGAACCTTTCAGGGCCACTTTCACGGCCACCAATCTCAACAACCCTCCCCCCAACAACCCTCCCCCCAAACCCTGCCCCCGCCCAAACCCCCGGCCAAAACCCGCCCAAACCCACTGACGCCCTCGAGGTGATGTTGCAGAACCGCACCAACGGCACTGGCTCAGGCCCGGGCAACCCCCAGCGCCCCAAAGCGACTTGGTGGCCATATGCGTGTGTCCTGTCTTCTTTTTTGCAAAACCAACGAAAGGGGTACCCTACCCACAAGAAAAAAAACAGATGCAGATGTTCGCAGGTCAAAACACCCCGGCATGCATCACCTGAGGGTGTGTTTCTCCTGACATGAATGCGCGAGGTCAAAGCACCCCTTCACTTGGTGTGGAGGACTGGCGCACAAAAGAAATTGGCCTTGGGCCAATTTTCCGGCTTTCTCGTGTCAAGTTTCGACCCTTGCAACTTCCATTCACACGTTTTTGTTTTCCTTCTCCTTTTTTTTGAATATCCCTTGGTTCGAAAGGGACTCGATTTGACCTCTGGACGAGCAATCTATGAATCCCGTGTTTCTTTCCTCCTGGCACGGAAAAGCTACATGGAGGGCGACCCATCCCACGGGATCTGCGGAGCCTCGTGGAACCACCGGCCAGGCGACGGGCCGCCGAAGCTTCCGCATCCCTTGTCGCGCATGGTCGCCTTCGCGCCGCTCGGCGGCGGGGGGGGGGGGGTTTGGAGTTGCGTGGGGTGACTGAGCGAGGCCAACCGTTTGGCCGGGCCCAGGGGGTCTTTTGGAAGACGCCTTTGCCGTTTTTTCCTCTTTTCACGGGTTTGGAGGTGTGGGGGGGGGGGGGGAAATGTGTCGAGTGTCGAGGTTTTTTTGCGATCCTCTTCGCGTGTCTGGGATTGTCAGACAGTCGGGGCGCTGTTGCCTCGTTTTCGGCTCGGCGGGCTCCTCAATGGCCCCAGATCCGTCGCTTGGCCATTGCCTCAGGTAGGTCTTCCTACTCGCTCGCAAAGCTCGAGACGTGGCCGAAAATGAGCGGCGGCTGTTCCACTTCTGCACGCTGGAGAGCCTCCGTTTTTTTTTCTTTCCCCCAGCCCCAAGTTGTTTTTCTTGCTCTGTAGTCGGAATGACCGAGTCGGGGTCTTGGGAAGGAACTATTTTGGGATTTCCTTAGAGGAAGCCACCAGTTGGAGGGCTTTTCTTTGTGGGGTGCATTGGATTCTCTGAGAACCAGCGCAGAGGTTTTGCGCGCATGGCCCGGGCGGACACCCGCGAAGGTCCCCGGAAATTTTGTTTTGGCCATTGACTTTTAATGGTTGGCACCATCTCAAAAGTGCAAAAGTGGTTGGACACAAAATTCCCAAGTGAACAAATGATGTCCATCCAAGGGTCCAAATTTGGGGACCCCAGAATCATAGTCATGTGCCCGGAGACTGTCTCTCGCAACTCCTTTTCCTTTTCAATCCGCCAGGGTGGGGGGGGTTGGCATCTGTTCTTCAGGCGTCATGGCGCGCCGGCAGCCGCTGAGCCGCTGGCTGGCGCATGGGGGACAAAAGCTGGCTGACGGCTGTCGAGTTATCAGGGGCCTGTCGCTTTTCAGAGCCCAAGTGGTGGCTTTTCCTGGCTTTCCTTTGAAACCCAACATTTGGAAACAGTCAACATGGTCGTTGAAGTCTATTGAAGGTTTCCGGCCGCTTTCCGAGACCTCGCGGAATCCCCATTCAAGTGACTACTTTTACAGGGATTCGCTGGCACCATCCCCAGTGCACACATCGATGCCGAAAGCGCTGTCTGAATTGAAGTTGGAAGGGCTGTCTCCGGAGTCTCTTTTTTTGTTGGAAGGCTTTCTGGGCTAGTTCTCCGGAGTCTCTCCGGAGTCTCTCCCGGGCAGTGTTTGAAGCGGAGGACCCGCCGATTCTATGCCCCAAGCTCGGGTTTTCGACTCCATGCGTGGAACTTCCGCTGGTCGCTCCAGAACACCACATCCACTTCCGTAAAATCGCGCCGCGATGCGTTGGGTAGCAGCAGGTTTGGCCGGGGGTTCTTGGCTGGCAGAGGCAGGACTACTTTTCTTTGGTGCATTTCCCTTGGATGTTAGGACTGAATAACTTTTTGATCCAACTCATGGGTTTTCCGGGGGGGGAAAAACCCACTAACAGTTCATGTTCCTTTCCTTGGGTTTCCTGGAGCAGCTTCTCGCTCGCCAGCGTCCGGACTTCGAGGCAACGGGGCGGACTTTTTCTTCTGGCGCGGCTGACTGGGGGTCCAGTCGGTGGCCGTCGGTCACGTGGTTTGGGGGACACACTGATTTGAGTGTTCTGAGCAAATTTGGCTGTGGTCAAGACCGTAATGGGGGATCCCAGTTTGGTTGAGATTGATAAATTCACCACCCATTTTAGGACCTATTTTGGTGGGGATTGGGAGGTTCACTAGGGGTGCGGGATATTGACCCATGGCCATTTGACCTTCCTTGCTTTATGGCCATGTGGTAAACAAAAATCTTTGGACTTGAACTTTTTCGTGGAGACAGTGGGATTTTTCGAATTGGACCCACAAACAGTTGTTCCCTTTTTGCAGAGGGGTCGTTTCAGCAAAGCTTGCAGGCTCGAAAGTGGGAGCCTCTGCATGGGTATTTTCTTTCCCCGCAAACTCGCCGAAGCTTCACTTGGGTGGCATCTCGATCACCACACGTTTCTCGCAGGCGTTCTTCTTTTTTTTTTGATTTTTTTTGGGGGGGGGCATCTCAAGTTCACTCGATTGGTTTCTTCCCCTGGGCCGATGGGAAAGTGAGTCCACCGAATCGATGCGATCCATGCGGCCCGATGGCTCAAAGCGTCCGGCGGACAACCGCCGTGGTTTGCCAAGTCCTTCTGTGTCGCGCCATGTGGCGTCGGGGTCCCCAGAAGTAAGCCCGTGGTGTGCAGCGCCCACGTTCGAATACTGGTCGTGTGGTGCTACCGGCTGGTCAGGGCCGGCTTGTTGAAAGCGAAGTTCGGGTGTGTGGCTGTGACTTGGGGAGAATCATGGGCGCTGGGAGTGAGTAGGTTTCCCCTTTGCCGGGAAGCGAATTGGTGCACTTCTTGTTGCCACCTCGGAGAGAGCTTCTCGCCTTTGGACGGCGCGATCTGAGTGCAACGACTTGTAGCCGACTGGTAGCCCTTCGTCTCGACGAGAAGGCCCCCCCAAATGCCAAACAAGCCTGGGGGTACCGGACCGGCTTCACCTTCGGCCAAAGGGGCTTAGGCTTAAAACCTTCAGCTGGAGATATGTCTCGTTTGTTCTTCTTCTTCAGAGAAAAGCCAACCCGTTGCGGCGCCCTGAAAAAGATAGACCCGCTCTCCAAATGGGCTGTAGGGGCTGTTGAATGGAGCCAGCTGTGCCATCCAGCCGGGCCGTGGCCTTTTTTTTTGGGGGGTTGGTGCTTGCGGAACTTAGGAACCCCTTGGCCATGACCCACAAACACCGCACATGCGTCAAAAGGATTTGGGCCCGGAGTGGATTTCCCTGTTCATTCTCTGTGGAACCGAGGTGAAACAAAAAGAAGCGCGCCCGAGAAAAAGCCGAGCCGCGTACGACACATGCTATGCTCGGCCGCGCCTCCGAGGCTTACTCAGCCCGGTGCTGCTTTCGAGCGCTCTGGCGGGGCGCTTGAGCGCGGGACATGAGGAGACGGGGAAAGTGCCCTGCGCCTGCGACAACAAGGCGCGCGGACACGAGCTCTGAACCTTTGCATTGGGGTGGCAAGGTGCACACGAAAGGAGCCCACTGGTTGGGAGGGAAACCCTAGGCTCGACCAGGGGTACTTCGGATACACCCAGAGTGCCGGGGATCCTCTGCGGGTGTTGTCTTTGCCGCCCGAAGTTTGATTGTGTGACCACCTGGTTCACCAGTGGGGAGATAATATACCATAGCCCATGATGGAGGGTCTGCCACAACGCATTTGGGCACATGCGCCCTTGTTGTTGCTTGGTTTTTATGGACACCCGCCGGGGGAAAAAAAACCGCGCCGCTTTGGAGGGGGGTCCGAATATCCCAACCAAAAGGGACAGCCCCACGTCTCACCGCGCGAGAGGTGGGCGTTCTGGCGCCGAAGAAGGAGCTGCCGTACATCCGCATCCCAGCGGACGCGAGGTGCGAGCGGCCCCACGTCCACGCCTCCAAGACGGGGGGGAAGTTCTGCAGCTGCGACAAGGCGCGGGCCGAAGGAGCCGGGGGTGAAGGGTAAAAAAGGTAGGGGGCGTTTTCCATTAAACCACCAAAAGTCAGTCACTTTTAGCAGGGGAGCAGACAGCAACCGAGCTTCTGCCCAGATAGGACGAGCAACCCAGCGATCATAGGTGTCCTTTTTGGTTGTTTTGGTAGACTATAGATGGCGATTCCTGGTCTACCCGGTGGCAACCTAAAAGGACACTTATGGTAGGGGGCCTGGGGCCGGTGTAGGTTGGGGGTTTGAACCAGCTCGGGCTTGCAGTCGTTTTTCATGGCAGACTTGGATCGTGTTGTTGGACAAGCTGGATATCTTCTTGTGCGAGGTTCGCCGAGCGTGCCAGTCAAGGTGGGCATTCCGGTACCATTTTTTTGTTTTTTTGCCAGGGCGCTTTGCCTTCGGTTCTAATATGTGCGCGTGCCGCGTGTGGATATTTGTGGAGGCCATCTCCTTGCAATCAGCCAGTTATGTCTTCGAGGACGTCACAGGTGCTGCGAAGAACGTCTTCGAGATCCACACTGCCAGCAAGCATGGGAGGGTTTGTCAACAAAAGACGGCCCTTTTGGTGGGACCCTGTGGCCGCCTTGCTGCTGTGTTGAAAGGGGAGATCCCCGAGTTTGGAGCCCTCTCCCCCACCGGACGTCTGCGAACCTCCCGTGCTTCCGCTGGCCTTCCGCTTGCCTTCCGAGCCGCCAGGGCGTGGCGACCAACTGGAAGGTGGCGCTGGGAGATGCGCAGGTGCAGCTGGAGGCTGTGGTCAAGCCCAAGGTGGAGGCGGCTTTCTGGGGCGGAATGAAGTGGGGGAGTGAACTTTTTCCTGCTTTCGCCCTGGAAATTGATTGAACGCGGAGTGAACAGCACCGTGCATGAAGCATGGCCTTGTTGCTCTTGTTGCCTCCCAATGAACAGAACCGAATCCAACAATCGAAGCAAAGCATCAACGAACGCGCCGAGAGAAGCGGGGGCAAGAACGCCGGACCTTGCGGAAAGCCCCCGCGGAGCGCCTTTCGGACCCCTTTCTCGTCTCCGAAATGGACCAGCGGACCTTTTCCCATCCAGCAGGTCTCGTTTCCCTTTCTCGTTTGGTTGACCAACGAAAAGATGGACTCGACCGCGGAAAGGGTCAGTGCGAAGCGCGGCTTTCTTAGCAAGTGGGGGGTTGAGAGCGCAAAATGGGAGCGCTTCTGCTCCTTTCGGCTTCCTTTCAAGACCAATCAAGGGGGGGGGTGGATGACTCCCTGTGTACTGGAGGAGACCCCGCTGTTCATCAACCAGCACCTGTTTGTTAGTCCTCGGTCGATATTACGCCTGTATAGGCTGTATATGCTCCTGACCAGCCTTGGAGCGACTGCTGCCTAAAGCGAACGTGAAGAATTCAATTCTGGATTCTCAGTTCTCGTGACTCGTTTAGGCTGGGAGGTTTATCGTTTTTGTCTGGGAGAAACCGGAAGGACGCCAATCGATTTGGGGGGCAGCCTGCTTGGAGACGGGCATGCACTCCACAAATTAGGGTGGTTTCCCTTTTGATTACTCTTTAGTTGCACGAACGCCATGTGACAAAAGGGCAGCGCAAACTAACTTCGAACACCTAAAGGCGGGAACCCTCAAAACTATGCAAACGCAACTGCCAGAACTGCCCACACTGCAAATGGCGAGCGAAAGTGCCGGGTCTGAAAAAAGGGCTCCCTACGCTTGGTGGTTCGCCGGTTCCCTAGCTTCTGAGCTTCTGAGTGCTTAGTGGAGTTTCCATTTCACTCCCACTAAAAGTTAGACCCACTTTTCGCGGATCTGAAAACGGACGGCCCAGTAGCTCCCTGTGCCAATCAGAGTCGCGGCGGCTATCGCGCGATCCAGTCGAGGCGATCCAGGCCAAGATCCAGGCCTTGGAGGAGCGTTCGAGGGGGGCGGTCGTTCACGGCGTTCATCCGGCGTGCAGAATCTTTTTTCCCCTGGCGAGCGTGCAGAATTTCATCCGGCTTTGGAGGTTTCTGATTGGTGAAAAAACTTTTCTAAGAGGCAGCCAGGTGGATGCTTCGTCCGGCGTTCGTTCGAAGTTTCTTTTGGGTTTTTAGGGACCCCCAAGATTGGATGGAGTTGGACCAAGAATTCCAGGCACAGTCAATGGCATTTTGCGGTTGCTTCCCCTACGAAGCTTCGACTGTGCATATGTTGTTCACGAGCTCGGGTTGATGGCTCCTTGCATGGGGTTTCCATATATTTCCTGAGCCAAACAGGTTGGTTGGAACAGGTGGAACATTCCCGGAAAACGCGACTCCGTTGACCCTGTTCGAGACGGCAGGTTTTTGTACAAACAGCTCTCGAAGGTGATCGCTTCATGTGAAGCTTGGCTTGACACCATGAGCAGTCCCTGGTTTGGTGGTTTTCCCGCTGTTTTGATCCTACAGTACCCTATTTCCCGCACGCACGGGGACCTGTTCGGTGGCCAACCACCAGAACGACACGGGTCGCTGGATGCAATGCCGGGGTTCCCCTGACCAACGCTTGGCTCCCAGCAAAGAGGTTCATAGAGCCGGAGTTTCTTCCATTTCCCTTTTTGGAACCTCTAAAAGTGACAGTTTCAAGGGACACCACCAGTCAATTGATCAACTTTTGGAGGGGCAGGTTGTGGATTGCCCTTTGGCCTTTGAAACCAATTGAAGGCTACCCTTTAACGGGGATGCATCCACCTCTGCGTCTGAGTGCGAAGGTTCCAGGATCCAGGAACCTGGGCGTGTGCCTCAATTCCAACGAGGCTACCAACTACTACATGGTGGTTTTGCCATCCCTCTCCCCCCCTTCCGGACCAGGAAATCCTTTAACAAATCCCTAAAAACAATCCTGCTTAAATGTCCAATTTTTTCCCCCCGGCCGAATTCCAGTCACCCCCCTTTTTTGCTCGGCTCTAGCGTGCGAGAGGAGCAGTACGGCATCACCATCGACTACTCATCCATCAGCAAGATCAAGCCTATGGTGAAGAGCTTCCCCCGGAGGCATTCACAGAAACCAAAGTCATCAATATAACAGGATGGTTCAATCATAGAAAGCTGCTTCTCTTGTGGGTACAAAGAACTCCAGGGGGGGATGTGTGTTGTGGCTGTCCCGATGAAATTTCCCGAAACAAGGTCGACGGCGGAGCAGCCAAGTCTGACAAAGTGGCTTTCGTCCATTTTTTTGGTGCGTGTGTGTGTGTGATGTGTGTGTGTGTGTGTGTGTGTGGTTTTCGGGTACCCTTTTTTGTGGGATGTTTTCAAGGGAAACCACAACGAGGGCCACCCTTCTTTTCAAGGGGTCCAAATTTTGAGCACGGGTTTGTCGCTTCGGAAGGCCAATGGAAGCTTCAAACAACTGGGCACTCCCTTTTGGTATTCCCTTAAAGCAACCGCGACTTCCAAATTTGCTGAAATGAGCTTCTTTTTTTTCTCTAAATCCCCTGTTGGTTTGAAAGGGAATCTAAATGCTTTACCTTGTTTTCCAGGGGACTTAAGCTACTGGAGGTCCTTCTCAAATTTCTTCCCACAAAAGAACAGAAGGCTCTCTAGCTCAACCAGCAGCAGGCAACCAAGCAACCAACCAGCCGGCCAGCCAACCAAACCCACCAACCAACCACCTAACCAACCAACCCAGCCCTAGTAAAAAAACACACACACACACACACACACCAGCCTTGGAAATAGGAAAAACGGAGAAGAAACAAATCAAACAAAACACGGGGACCGGGGAACGCGTGGGTTTTGCTTCGGTCAACCACCAGCTCGGACTTTTCCAAACCCGAACCGCGCCGGGAGGAACGGCGAGGGCGTTTGGGTCTGCTGCTGCCAGAGTCAGAAGGCCGGCAAGTGCAAGGAGAACGCCCAGGCCGGCGGAGCCGGGAGCGGTTGCCGCGAGATGCTCCAGGACACGTCCTTTTGATCGGTGAGCCTGGTTAAACATAGAGGGGTTCATGGGTGTTGTTCTATTTACCAGCAAAACCCATCTAGTTTTCCAAAAGGCCACCTATGCTCCAGGAGCGGTTTGTGTGGTGCAAACGCGAGGCGAGCCAATCTTGACTGGCGCGTGCCCAATAAGGGAGACCGTTTGGGTGTTGCCAAAGAGCGGGTGGAAACTGCTCCGGACTTGTTTTTTTCTTCTTTGGTTTAAAGGGAAGCCAACGGGACGCCATTTGGGTGGTTGTCAAAGACATGGTACCCCCCAAAATGAAGCCCTGGCAAATGGAAATGACGCTTCGTCCCCGTCCGTTTTTAGCTGGCGGCCTCGGACTTTTACATTCGGGCTTGATCAAAGCGCAAGGGTACCAGGGCCCTTGAGTTGAACAAATGCCTTGTTACGTGACCGACAGTTCAAGACTTATGGTTTCAGGTATTAAAATTCACGATAAAGCTGGAAATACGTTCCACTCTTTTCCCCTGGGGGTGTGGTAGACATTTTCAGTTCTCGATTTGGTTTGAGGGCCTAGTGACTTCGAAGGAACATTGGACGGTTGCCTTGATCTTTCCAATCCTGGGCCAAGGTGTCAACCTTGGGGCCCTTTCGGTTTCCCCAAGTCTTGACTTACTCCAGCAGAAGCAGAAGACACAGGCACAGGAACATGAACGGGGCTTCCTTTTGCCCTTGCTGGCTCTGAGCAGGGCAGGGAATGAACCATCCAGAAGCAAGCCATCCAACTGGTGCTTTCCTTCCAAAATGGTTGATTCCCAAGAGCTTGGGCTCTTCATTTCCTATCGCATCAACCAGTTTCTTCAGCGCCTTTGGCTCGGGGCGTCGGACCGTCGGACCGCTGAGCGTTGTTTGTTGTGGACGCAAAATCCGAGGGAGAACTCGCTGCAAACGCAAGGAATGAGTTACCGTGGTGGCAAGAGCCGTAAGGTTTGTCAAGTTACAAGTTGGGGAATGGAATCAGCCTGGTTTCTTAGTCCATCCACAGTAGAATCAGAACAGTGTGATCTGGCTTTCTTTCGGGGACGGATTGCAAATGAGGGCGATGTGGAGGCTTGTACCGCGGAAACAACGGATCGCAAACCAGCCAAAGCAGTTTAGGAGACATACTCACGCGCGGCTCTGTAGCCAATAGAGCTACGCAAACCAAAAGGGAAGGAGGGGAAAACAGGGGAGGTTTCCATGCACCAGCCAAGTTTCTTGAGCCATACCCTTCGCTTTTTAGCATTTTGTGTTCAGTGGTTGGATTTCGATTTCACCCACCAGAAGTTAGTTACTTTTCGCGGGGATCTGAAAACGGGCAGCCCAGAATTGAATTGTTACTAGGTCCCCCCAATAGTGCCCTTTTACCCTGTTTTGGGGAGGGTTCACAGAAAAAAGTTGGTACCGTTATTCTAGCCTCTCTACTGCAGGACCTAGGGTAGTTTGGGGGGGGGGGGGGGAGCTGCTTCTTCCGAGTGGGGCTTCTGATGGCGCGCGCGCGTAACCGACCATTTCGGCCAGATGGAGGGGTCCCTGTTCAAGAGCGGCTTCCACCACGAGGCGAAGCCAGCTGGTTGGCGTTTTTTGGCCCCGTCTTTTTCCGCTGCATCAGTCTGAAAACGGGCGGCCCAGGCTGGTTGGTGGAAACCCTTTGAGACCGCCCAGGATGCATGGCGCGCTGCAATATTGGGCTGAGCCACTTAGATTTTGTCCGGTAGCTTACCCTTTGACTTGTTGCTCCTCGAGTTTCCTTCATATGCCCTTCCAACCAGCACAGTCAAGGGGCTCGGACCTCGTTCAGCTCCCCTGATTGGAGAGTGGACCCCGCACTCAAATCCTTCGGCCAAATTCATTGTTTTCTTTTAGAGGGTGTTTTGGTTTAAGAATCAACCTAAGATAATTCTCATTGTTGAATTAGCTGTCCCATTTTTCACCCCCAGATTCTGTTTGGAGGGTGTCCCGGTTTAAGAGCTCGCTGGCCAAAAAAATGGTGCCCCGTGCCCGATTGAACACCACAGGTCTGGGTCCTTAAAAGAAGGGAGCGAAGTTTATGGGATTGACACCGGCGCGGTTCCCGAGGTTCGGTTTCACGGGAGGGGTAAGGGGGCTGTTTGGGGTCCCCCTGTTTTGAGACACGTGTAGTCCCTATCCTGTGTCGTGCAACCAGTCTGGTTGCATTTCTTTCCTTGCCAATCTGGATTGGAAGGCGAAGTTGGTTGATGTTTTGTTAGTTTGGTTCTTAGCAGGGAATGAGGGAATGGCGGAATCCCTAGGTTCATGCTCGCCGGCCTGGGTTCTTCGCGACTGAGAACCAGCAAGTCATTTGGGAATTGAAGTCTTATTTCTTGCATGCCTGTGCAAGGTCACCTGCCCAGACACATAGACTAGAATCAACAACACAATCTGAGGGTTTTTGTTTACACCCTGGGATTTTGGGGTCAATGCCCAGTGGGTGTATTCCCAGGGTGTAATACAAAAACCCTTAGACAGAAGCACGCGGTGCGGGCTTCACCCTTCCCCAGCTTGGGCTTTTGCTCGATGCAAGCTGCGATCACGGGCCAGTCACCTGTGTAAACAGGAAGGTGCCTTTTGCGGTTGGTCTAAAGCGAACATGCAAGACCACCTGCCATTTTGGGGGCCATGTGCACCTTTAGCGAGTCAATGGTATTGGGAAGCCTGCATTACCCGGGGAGCGTCACATTCCATGCAAGAGTGATACCTTCTTAGGGCACCCCACCTAAGAATCTACAGGGCTGATTCATGCAGGGTCAACAGCATGCTTTTTTGGGGTGAGTGCTACCACACAAAAAAACCGGAATCCACCGCCCGCTGTTATCTCCCAGGGTCCTAAGCGCCCACTGCTCCAACTTTGAGGGGGCGACGGTTCCATATCACAGAAGTGGGCACCGACAATTCTGCTTCCCACATAGGTATGGTCAGCGGGGGACCACAGGTTCTGGTCACTAGAGTTCCATTTTGGGTACCCATTCGAGCCACAGTCAAAACTCGGGTAGACGAAGGTTAGTAAGGGGCAGTCCCAACCAGAAATAGTTGCGGCCGCCTTCTTAATTCTTGAAGCATGGTTCTGAGATTACGACCATTTTCATACCGGGGTTTTGATTGTGACTCACTTGGCTCTGAGCCGCTTGCTCAAAACCTAGGTAGGTAGGGAAAGATACTTGGGCTGTCCTTGTTTCTGGATGGCATTCCCTTGATTGTGCCCCATGCCTTCTTTCTAAGATTTCGCGGCGGCCCGGTCACGGCCCACCGCCTGCCTCCAGAGCCGCAGGCGCCGACGAGGGCGTGCGAGGAAGAGTCGGATGAGGAGCGTGGGGCGGGTGCTGGCGGGGAAGCGGAAAGTGAGGATCATAGGACGAAGATGCCTTGCATTTTTTTTTTTTTACACGTATTGCTTTATTTATTTATTGATTGATTTATTTATTTACTTATTTATTTGTTTTTTTATTTGTGTTTGTATTCATTGTATTGTATTGTATTGTATTGTATTGTAGTGTAGTGTAGTGTATTGTATTGTATTGTGTTGTGTTGTGTTGTATTGTATTGTATTAATTAATTTATTTACTTATTTTTGTTTATGAATTTATTTTTCTTTCCCGTGGGTGATTGTTTCTGGGATTGTCTCCAACTGGAACCCCGGAATGCATGGTTTCTTCTGTGTCTTTCCTTTGACGTACCAGTCAATCAAAGGGTACTCTCCCTCCATTCAACAATCATTGAGGCTGACAGGAAGGAGTTTTACGACTGCTTTATTTAAGGGCTGCCGCCCTGTGCCACCGGCCCCTGCTTGCTGACAGTGCACGTTGTTATGACAATTGTGACTACGCATTTTTTGTCGGGTTTAACGGCACACTTAAAGCATATATGAGAAAGAAGAGCAGCACGACAATGATGATGTTTTTGATATTTACCCAACATAAGGGATGCTGATCATTATTACCCTTCATTCGCATTATCGCGAGCAGTTATGATGATAATTGTTACTTTGCATTTTTTGCATCACCAACAGTTGTTCTGATAATTATGACGACGCATTCCCTGCATCTCAAACAAGCCACTGCGGCCTAATTTCGCATGACAATAAGCGTTGAATTTTACAAGAAGTGCCCCGGGTGCGTGGAAACTCGTTCAGCAAAACCATGTTGGGGGCCTTTTTTTCTTCTCACGACTTCGATGTATTGCTGTGGATGCGAAGTGTGGACTTTGTGCCATCGCTTCGTCTTCGCGAGAAGTAAGCCGCTAGGAACACCTCGGGATGCAATCAGATGGTGATGGTGATGATGATCATGATGATGTTGAACTATGCACCCCCCCCAGCATCACCAGCAGCTATTATGACAATCATGACTACGCATCCCTGCAAAGAAGATCGCCACGGTTTGATGATGATGAACATGATGAGGAACATGATGATGAAAATGATGACGAACATGATGATGATGATGATGAACATGATGATGAACACGCATCATCCATGTCCATCATCATCATGTTCATCATCATCGTCATCATCATCCTCAGCATCACCAGCAGTGAACGTCATCGCATCCTCTGCATTTCCAGTCGTGACTGGAAATGCAGAGGATGCGTTGTGATCCTACTGATGCTGGGGATGCAGAGTGATGATGTTAACTGCTGGTGATGCTGATGATGCGTAGTGATGATTCTCATCAGGATGATGATGATGATGAACAATGATGATCAAGTTCCTCGTCATGTTCATCATCAAAACCGTGGCTTTTTCATGAGACCCGACTAGAAATGCAGAAGATGCGTTGTCATGATTGTCATGATTGATGATCACTTTCATCATCATGTTCATCATGATTCATTTTCATCATTTTCATCATCAGGTTCCTCAGCATGTTCGTCATCATCATCATCATCATCATCATCATCATCATCATCATCATCGTCATCATCATCCTGCTGACAACACATCCTCTGAATTTCCAGTCGGGTCTAACGGCACACTTGAAACGTAGTGATGATAATCATCACTGAGACAAGGACAAAGACAAGCCCTTCCCATGCGCCTTCCCTTTGGAGAAAGGGGTCGGCGGATTTGTAGGCAGCTTCCCTGTCCACTTGTACTTTGTTGGAACGAGGTTATCCTCTGGGCAGAGCAGAAGCTCCTTCCTGGTCAGCTTCCCCTTTTCAGAGAAGGGGTCATGGGTAAGTTCCTTTCAAGCGGGCCACTTCCCAATATGAGCACCGGACTGAGCGATGCAGTCGGCGCTCTGTGGCGCTCTTTGGTTGGCACAACTCCAGTGCCTGTAATTCCCAAATGCGCATTGGGGTACGGGTCGAAATTAAAGCACCAGGATTTTAGTCCTGGGTTCCTCGGGTTCCAAAATTTGGATACCCATTTTTGAGCCACAGCCATATGGGGGTTGATCAATATTCCCTTTGGGCCCCCCCAAAATGACTATGGGTAGCTTGTCCCATGTGGTGAAAGTCGGATGTATCTGTTTTTTGGTGGTTTTTGTTGATCAAATCCCCATTTGTGGGAACGTCCGCCTGCAAGGACGAGCGTGTTTGTTCCAGCTTGGAGCTTGCAAATGCAGACTTCCTCTGGGGTTTTGGTGGTTTTCTGGGTTCAGAAAGGTGGCAGGTTCCCCAGTTGACCGGCTGCCGGGGGTTCCCCATTTTCCGCGCGGTTTTTGGACGGCTTCGAAATTAACCCATTGTCGTGCCAGAATATCTGAGCCTTGATCCCCAGCTGACTGGGGCGCCCCTTGATCCCCCAAAAGTTGCTGGTGCTTGGCAGGGAATGGCCAGTACCGGGTGCTGGGAATGAACCGTTTGGGGATTCCCGTTTCCGGACACCAGCTCTCTCATTCCCCGCATTTTTTTCCGCAGCAAGAAGAAGAGGCGCTGGGTAAGCCGCTGGGGGTTCAACCCCATTTCTGGTTGGTCCTTCCATTTCTCATTCCCCGCATTTTTCCCGCAGCAAGAAGGCCCAAAAACGAGGCGCGCCACTGGCCGGGGTTCGAGCCACCATTTCTGGTTGGTCCGGCGGTGCCCTGAGAAGTTGGGATCTCTTGGCCTTGATCCCTCGTTCAGAAATTGAATGTTAATTACGTTTAACACCACATCAAAAGGGGCATATTATACTCTACACAAAACACCACCAGTATACTTCCGCCGCCATGAAAGGGGAAGAATACACACCGATAAATTAACACCGTCAGTCATAGAGCCACCATGAACACCACAACTCCAGAAGCGATCAAGACTCTGGTTTTACCAAAAACCGCCCTGGCGGTTGCGCTCAGGCGGAGAGTCGGGAGCCAAGAGATTCTTGGGGGGGAGGGGGTGGGGGGTCCTATGGGCTGGGTGGGGGAAAGGGGCAGATGAGCGCGGGCAGCATCTAGAAGAAGCGCTCCCATGTTTTAAGGGGTTTCCCTAGAAAACACGCTCCCATGTTTTAGGGGTTTTTCGTATTTTGCCCCCTGTTGGTTGTAAGGAATGAGTTTCTATGGCAACTCAGGCAAACGAAAGACTTCCAAAGACAAAACCTGGACAGGCACATGGAAAAACAATTGCGTGCATGATGACCAACATTCCCGTTCCTCTAGTTGCATTAGAACCAAGCATACATTTCATTTAGGGGAAGCGATTGCTGTCTTTTAGCAGTCTCACCAGCTACCCCAGTTCCCCGAATCCTGCCATCCACAATTCCAGAAGTATCATGGGGGCCCTTGACAACGGGAAACGAGGCAACAGGAGGGAAAGCCTGCAGCCCGTTCACGGCCCCTAACAGCCCCTCTCCCAAAACAGGGCGGTTTCCTTTTTGGTTGCCCTTGAAAACCCGCCAAAAACGGGCACCTCCCCCCAAAACAAGGTGGTGATCTTTTGGTTGCCCTTCAAAAAAAATTACCAAACTTTGGACACCCCCCAAAAAGCGACTCAAAGGTTCAAATCTGCTTCTACCTGCCGGGAGCCCCCCGTGTCGGTCGCCACAAGTCGTTTCGCCGCTTCGCGCTGGGCGTCGCTTTGGAAGTCGTCCGAGGCAGTCCGCCCAGTCCGCCCAGTCCGCGCAGAGGCCCGCCGCCCCCGCCGCCGCCCATGAGCGCGGGCCTCGTTTATTTTTTTGGTCGGTGCAGGCGGAGGTGTGGCAGGGGAGCCTTGCCCCGGTCCGTTTTTGTTGGAGGACAGCTCCTTTTGGAGGGGTTTCAAAGGGAAAGCCAAAGGAAGCTCGCCATTTGTGGGGGTGCCCCTATCTGAAGCCAAGGCCCTTGCGAGTGGAAGTGGAAAGGTGATCTTTTAAATGACAGCAGGAGACAGCTACAATCAAGGTGCCATCCCCTTGGATTCACCGTGAGTTTTGGGTAGACGACTGCCAGGCTGGGTTTTGATTGGCCCAAGTTTCCAAAGCAAATCGCTTTTCAGGACTATGCTGGAATCTCGAGCTTGCAATTGCAGAAACTTGGCTGTGGGTCAAGACCAATGGTACCATTTTGGGGTGGGTGCACCACTCATTTTAGTCTATAGTAGTGGGGATTGGGATGTTCACTGGGGGTACGATTTGGATTTTGACCCAAGGCCACTTGAGTAACTTGGATCCGATCCAGCCTGCCGGTTCCTTGGTTGCGTTTCCACATTTTTCACCCGCAAGATACCCTCTCTCCCACGTTGCCATGGCGCCTGGCGTTCGGGACCCGGTCCCTCCAAAAGGAAATTGATCTTCCAGCTACCCTCCACAGGTGCCACGTTAGCGAGAGGAAGGGTAAACTTTTGGTCGGGGATCCGGTTTGGACCACCAGGCAAGGGTTTCCCCTTTATTCCCGGTTTGGGAAAATCGACATAGCTTTCTCAGCAGTCGCGTGCCAGTCCGACACAGAAGTCCCACAGCTTTGTTCCAGTGCTCTTTTCAACTCCCCCCTCGAGTTCCTGGACTTCCAAACTTTTTGGGAGGACCATTCTTGGCGATAAGCAAACGGTGCATCACGGGGGCTGGGGGGGAAGGAGGAGAGGGGGGAGGGAGCCGCCCAAGAAGCCCTTATGAAGCAGGGCTCCTTAAAAGATACATTTTGCCCATTTGAAACATGGCTTTTTTTTTTTTTAACCAAAATAAAGGGAAACCACCATTGACAAGGCAATGTTCAGGTGTATAATGTAAGGATCCCTGCACCCTTCAGGAGGTTGACCCCGGACTTCTCAACCACTTAGGGCGCGGCTTGTTTTTTCGCCCGGCGTTTTTTTTTTTGGGGATCTTTCTTCTTCTTTTTTTTTGGGGGGGAGGCTGTGCAAGATCCTGCAGACCCCCAGTGACCTTTTTTTCTTGGCAGTGTGGGGTTCCTTTTAGATCAGCAAAGGATAAAAGGGGTGAGGCGCGAACTGAAGCCAGTTCAGGGGGCAGCACTTTCTGCAAAGGGAATTGCGTTGCACCTGAAAGCAGCCGGTTGCCAAATTCTTCACCGCCTGCCCTGGACGGGCAGGCTGAGACCGTTTTGCCTTGCACTGTGCCGTGTTTGGGGCTCAACATTTTTTCTTTTCGCCGTTAGGGCAATCCCCGCGCAAAGTCCTTCTTGGGGCTAGTGGCAAGTAACCTTGCCTGCAGAATCAAAGCCTCAGACGAGGTCAAGATGGTGAAGCAGATTCGGCTGAATCTGTCATTTGTCTAGGGGTACCTTCCCCATTCTTTCCAGGGATCGATCTTTTCAGGAAGCCATCAAAATCCCAGGGGAAACGGCTGGTTTTTGAAAATAATGATGGTTGAAAAGAATGGGAAATCAACCCCTATAATTTTTACCACGTTCCTCCCAGTTTTCCCGGAACAGGACATCCGTCTGGGCAAACTGCAACACGCTCGCCTGGGTGGACGACCGCCTGCACTGCCCAAACGTATCCACTTTGTACACAAGATGGTTTGCTTTGGCGGGAGATCCCTCAGTTTCAGTTGGGGATCAATTGCTCTCAAGCAAATTTTGGTCTGGAACTTTGGCAGAGAGATTCTACCTTCTGTCCGGAGTCTGGGGCCGGCTTTGCAGGCACCACCGGCGCTCCCAGCACAGGCGCTCTTAGAGTCATCCCCAAAAAGCTTTTTAGATCTTTTTTGTTCATTTGGTGGTTGGGTTTCCGAATTTCACCCGCTAGAAGATTCACTTGGGCTGCGGGAATGGTTGGGGTATGGGTACACTGGACGAATCGAATCCGGGGCCTTCCGATTCGCGTGCTATAGTAGCATGATGCAGGTCTACTTGGGTTCTCTCATTTCAGGGTTTGGTATACTATTTCGACTTGGCGGATTAGGATTCTCCCTTTTTTGCCGGAATGTGCGCCCCACCTTTGTGGGGCCCAACGTGAGATCCCGGGGGGTACACCATCACAGCGTGTAAGGCAGCGTATACCCCTCAATCTAGTGGCAAGCAACCTTGCCTGCAGAATCAAGGCCTCAGACGAGGTCAAGATGATGAAGCAGAATTCAGCTGAAACTCTCATTTGTTCCACGCTCCTCTCAATTTGCACGGGAAAGGACCAAGGGCTCACTTTATAAGGCACTCCTTTTTGGTCGGGCTTCAGTTTCCGCTGCGAAGCATTTTTCATCCAGAAAAACCAAAGGTGTGTTTGGTCAACTCGAGTTCTCGGGAAAACCTGGCTTTTGTGTGTTCTCACGAAAGGAAGAAGTGTGTTCTCAGGAAAGTGTGCTTTGGTCTCGGGAAAACCTGACTGGAGTTCCAGTGGGCTTTCGCTTCGGCCGCGGCGGATGCCTGAGCCTCGCAGGCACCACCGTTTCTCCCAGCGGAGGCCGATTTTTGGACGAATCGGGCGGGAAGGAAGGAGTCTCCCGCAAAAAAATAAAAAACGCGCGCGAAAGGGGAGGAGAAGGTGAGAATGTCGGTTGTGACCACAGGCGTCCTGTGGATGAGTTTGATGGCTTCCGCGGGTTTGGATCGGTTTCATGCCATTTAGCCAGGGAAAGATCGAGCAACCTGCTTCGTCAGCGAGCTCACCTGGGGATTTCTCGAGCAGAGGTCCGAAAATCGGATCCCTGAATTCAGCCTTTGGACAAAAAACAATTTGCAGCCTTTGGGTCACCATAGTTGCGGCTTCTTTGGACATCGGCCGATTTGGGCTCTGATTCCGCACGAGGCCCTTCCAGTTCCGCCACGCATGCGCAACCGCCTGGCGGGTTCCTCTGAACTACTTGCTGGTGCGATGGGAAGAGAATGCACCTGGACGCCACCAGTTGGATGGGTTACAGGGGTCATTCCAATTCTCATTCCCTGAGCAGCAAGAAAATGATGTGTCTGTGACGGATCAGGTGTGAATTGCAGCAAAATAGATACACTCAACCAACGACGCCCAAAATTTCCTTTGGTTCACAGCTCTCCCATTTTTGCACCCCCCCGCCTTTCTAAAATCGCCCCTGCACCTGCCATGTTCTATCTTTGTTGTTTTTCGAGGTTTGAACCTGACCCTCTTCACACAGAAGATCCACCAAAGGCTCTTCCATCAAAGCGTCAAGAGTTGCTTTGTCTATTTGCGGGCGGGAGGTCAATGCAAATCAGCAGGTTGCCCCATGCTGGCTCTTTGGCTGGGATTTGAACCCCTGATTCTCGTAGAGTTTAAAAGAAATAGGAGACACCTACCCTAACCACCAACCCACCTCCCCTAACCTCCAAACCACCAATCCAAGCCACCAATTTGGGGTAAGCTGACTATTTGACACCAACATTTCCCTGAGCCATGGTGCCAATCCATCGATGTTCGTGATTTTTTCTCCACACAAGTTGAGACCTTTTTGGTTGTTTTTTGGGACGCCGAGCAAACCTCCGGGGACTTTTCCGGAGAAATTTGCCGCTTCCCTCCGGCCGCAAGGGGGCCGCGCGGATCTCATGGCGCAGATCCGCGGCGCGGCGCTGACCTCCACCGAGGTCGAGGGGGGGGGCCAATTCGGTCGGGGGGGCTTCGGAACTTCGGCTTCGGACCGGGAAGTCAGCAAAACGATCCCGTCCATGGTTTTTGGTTTGCCTGTCTTTTTTTTCCAGGGATCCGAATCTTTCCGGAGAAACCAGCAAGAAGATTTTGGGGAGATGGCGAACGGTTTTTGAGAAAAGAGCGATGGCCGAAAAATGGTACCATATCTTCTCACCTTGCGGGGTGGGGGGCACTTCTCCGCCAGGCCCCCAGCGTGCCGACTCCGACTCCCGCCGCCAGCGCGCCAGCGAGCGGCGAGAACCCGCTGATGGCTGCGATCCGCGCCGGACCGCCCAGCTTCAAGGGGATCCAACTGCAAAAATCCCCTGACCTCCTTCCATGTGCTGAAGAATATTTGTTCCCCCTTGTTGGTTTTAAAATGAATTTATCACTACTGGACATATATATATATATACATATATATATATATTATATATATATATTTCCAGGGGGCTTAAGCAAATGTTATGACCTCTCCTGATCCAAAAGTTTCCAAAGAAGGATATGGGTATGGTTCAAAATTATACCAAAGGACCGCAGGTTTTAGTCCTTGGTTCCATGAACCAGGGTACCTATTCTTGACTCACAGCCATGTGAGGATGGGATGCGCGTTCTGGCAAACCCTGCGCCAGATGTTACGCGACCGCGGACGCAACTTGATTTTGGGGGCGGATCGCCGGTTGGATCGGCCGGTTGGATCGTTCGGGGATCGTGCGGATCGTCGGCCGAGGCGGGGAAGGGCCTGAAGCACGTGACTGACGCGCCCGAGCCGCCCATCGGTCCGCCGCCGTCGGGGGGCCACGGCAGCGTCATGGACGAGCTGAAGGCCAGGGCTCGGGGCTCGGGGCTGGTGGCTGGGGGCTCGGGGGCTCTCGGTGTTTCTCATGGCGGTTCGCTTCTGCCATGGAATTCTCCCGCCCCCCCCAGCCCCGGGGCAAATTGGTGGCCAGCCCGGTGGTTTTGAGCTGTAACCCGGGGGTGGTTTCGGTCAAGGGGAGAAGGGGGGGCGCACAAGGAAGTAGACCCATTGCCCGGGGGGGGAGCCCAAATAAGCCCTAAGACCTTAGCAAGGGCTTTAATCAGGGCTTGTTTGGGCTCCCTCTCCCCCACCTCCCAAAAACGGTTGCAAAAGGAAGGGCAATCGTCATCAACCCTAGGATTTCGAGACTCGTTTCCGAGCCATAGTTGGGTTCCCTTCCGCCCCTCGGAAGGAAAAAGCAAACGCCCAACCCAAACTGGTCCATCGGATTCCGCCGGAGGAACCTGTGTGACACAACAGCCTGACAAACATGTCGTTTGACACGTGTGGGTATGTCTCGAAGTAGGCGGTCTCCCGTTTGATTTCCCTTTAAATGTATCCAGCCCTCACAGATCCTAACAGAGGGCGCCACCAGCCAAGAAACACCCACACCTATATATATATATATATAATAAACAACTATATATATATATATATATATATATATATATATATGCCCACCCACACACACACACACACACACGCACACTCAAAGTGTGAATAGACACAAAGGGAACATCGGAAAGCCCGATATGTTTTTTGGGGCCATGATTGGTGTGTGTGCAATGGTCAAAAGGCTCCCGGTTCCTTCACCTGGGGTTGGGCCCCATGACAAATCCGCCAAAACGGGAGTTTGGACCAGCGGAAGTTTTTGCCATGCTGCCTGGTTCTAGCGGGTTTCATGGGTCTGGGCAACGTGAAACCCAGATGGGAGGAAGACAACAAACCGGATCCCACTCAACAGCCACTCGCCGCAACTTAATTATGGGGGCCCGCTCATTTGTTCCCCCCACCCACCCCGCCCCCCTATGTGGAGGGCAACAGAACAAGAGTTGGGACGTGTCGGATCCGCATCCCTCGCGTCGCCGAGTCGCCGAGTCGCCGCGTCGCCGCGTCGCCGAGTCACCGCGTCGATTCTTGGCAGGCGGGCGTCAAGCTGAAGCCCGCCTCCGAGCGGACACTGCGCCTTGCTTTGAAGCGGGGGGATGGATTGGGGGGGGTGGGGTAGGGTTGGGGTTGGGGGTGGGTTGAGGGTTGAGGCGGGGTGGGTTGGGGTGGGTTGAGGGTTGAGGCGGGGTGGGTTGGGGTGGGTTGGGGTTTTGGGTTGGGGGCGGGGGAGATGTGACACCTTTAGTTTCCTGTTGGCTTTGGCTTTTGGCCCATCCCGTCGTGTTTGCCTGTGGGCTTTGACTTTCTGCATTTCCTGTCGGTTTTTCCTGTCGGTGCTTCCTCTTGGCCAGGGTTGTGGGATCAAGGGGTTTTTCCCCACTTCTGTGATACAAGGGAATCTCCCCCTTTATATGGGGGGTTTGTCTTTGGGGTTAGGCCCTTTTTGTTGTATGAAAGAAGTGGATTCCATTTCAGCCACAGCCCTGCTCTTGGCTTTTTCCTTTTGGTTGTTCAGTATTGTCAGTTCTCAATTAGGTAAGTGGAAACATGGACCAAAACCTGCGTAACCCTAGCTCTTTAATTTTGAGCCACACCAATTTGCCCCAATTGACCGCCCCTTTTTTGTGCCCGTTTTGTTCAAGCTGAAAGAAGGGCCCCCAAGACCCCAAGCCGCAGTGGTCCTGGTGTGTTTTATCTTTGGGTTTTTTTCACGGACCGTCTTTCCTTTTTCCTGGAGGTTGCATCCTTTATGGTCCTTGTTTTTTTTTGACCTCTTTTGGACCTTGAAGGGGGGCTATGTTTTGAAAGGGGAGGGGGGCTTTTTCAGGGCCTATCCTTACCTTCCCCCAGGCCATCCAGGGCTGGCACCCCATTCCCCCCCCCCCCTTCCCTCCATGGCTTTTTGCCCCCCCCTCCTTCCATGGCTTCGTTTGGGGAGCTCCTCGAACCCCCGGGTTTCGCCCGGGTTTGGCAGACGGGGTTTGGGTTGGGGGGGCCTCTCACAAAAACACAAACTCTACACTAAAACTCGCTTCATCCGAAGGAGGGGGGGGGGAGGACCTAACCAAAAAGCTATGGAGGGAAGGGGGGGGGAAGGGTCCCATTCCACTTGAGGGAAGCTTCCGAAGGTGTCAGGTGAAGGAGAGGGGGGTAGGACCTAACCAAAAAGCCATGGGGGGGGAAAGGGTCCCATTCCACTTGAGGGAAGCTTCCGAAGGTGTCAGGTGAAGGGGGGGGTGGGACCCAACCAAAAAGCCATGGAGGGAGGGGTTCCACTTGAGGGAGCCCCAACGGCCAGCCGGCCTCTCAGCTCAGATCCGCTCAGGGAGCCTCGGGAGCAGCACCTCACGCCCAGGGAGGAGCTGATGAGCGCCCTGAAGGCCATTCGGGCCGGATCGGCCCGATGCCATCGGGTAGGCGGGATGGATCGCTTCAGCCAACACCCGACTTTCAAGTCTCGCCTGCTGGCGCAAGCCTTGCGCGCCACTTTTTTAAAACAACTGCCGACTGTTAACAATCACCTGCTGGCGCAAGCGTTTCTCTTTTCTCCCGCCGGATGCAAAGGGGGGAGTTGGTTTTTTTCTTTTCCCCTCCAAGGTTTGAAGATTCATAGGCTTGGAGATCGGGTGTTGAACTTGCCGCGAGATGGGGTTCGTGCTGAAGACTCCCTTGCTTAAGCCGAAGGGAATTTCTTTGGGTTTCTGAGGCGGGGCTTGGAATCTTTTATGATTCAGTTTGACTTCTTGCTCCCGTCTCTGAAAAGGCACGCCTTTTTCTCCATCGCCGGGCAACAAGCCGAGATTTTTCGTCTCCCGAGACAAAATCGGTTGATTGAGGCCCAGCTAACATCTGCAAACAAGTCCTCATGCCTTTATGGCTGCCCGAAGGCCGACCCTTGTGTGCTCTTCTAGCTGGGCTTTCCGTGGCTTCTAGCTGCCTTACCTTTTCGCCTTCTTGCCTCCTGGGGTTGCCTTTCTTTCCCTTTCGGCCGGAAAAAGCAAGCCCAAGTCTGTTTCTATTATCATGGTGCTCGCCAAGCCGTGTGTGGTAGGTGCAAACCGTTCAAAGGACTGATGTTTTGCCGCCGACCGAAAGCAGTTCCAACAGTAGACGACCTTCCCAACGCTGGGCTCCTACCTACTAGACTTTGGTGCATTTTGCCAAGGGATGTTAGGACTTTAACTTTTTGATCCAACTAATGGGTTTTCCGAATTAAACCACTAAAAGTTAGTCACTTTTAGCAGGGCTTCGCAGATTTCGCAACCTAGTGGATGCTCGCTGGTTTGAACCTGCGGCTCCAGTTTCGGTCCCATGTGGGTTTGCAAACAAATGAAGGCGTACCATGAAGACCAACCTCCTCAAGATCACGGAATCTCAATTGAGCAGCGTCCAAACCCCCTTCCGCCATCTTAGATGGTTCTATGTGGTTGAATACGGATTGTAGTAGTGCCATGTTCGTGGAACCAAGAGTCAATGGGTTTTGGCCGCTGCTCAATTTTTGTTGGACACCAACCCAACAGGCAAATCGGGGCCCTCGAATTTTCTTCACCAGTGAAAACACGGCCCCCTGCTTTTTGGACTTGATTTTACCCATCAATCGTAGCCCCCCCCCCAACAAGAAGGGAGTTGTATGAGGGATGCCGCTGAGCAAGGGCAAAAATTGTTCCTTTTCCGAAGAACGCTGGTTGCCTTTCCGTTTAAGAACCCCGACCGGGAAATATGGGCGTTCCTTGTTTTGTTGGAGTTGAAAAGGCCTTGGTTGGTTTACGCCCCCGCTGTACAAAAAGACTGGTTGGCAACTTTTGCCCAGTTGTTCTCAAATCCCACTAGCTTTCTTTGGCATCTTCCCCCCAAACAAACACACACACGTACACACACACACACACACACGTACACGTACACACACACACACACACACACACACTCACACTCACACTCACACTCACACACACACACACACACACACACACACACACACACACACACACACACACACACACACACACACACAC